AAGGCCCTGCAAGTATGGCCTCTGTCTCTCCAACCTCATCTTATGCCTTTCTGCTCATTCACTACCTTTCATTGTCTTTTCACTTCTAGACACATTCTTTACTGCTTTTAGAAGCTTTGGTATGTATGTTCCTATCCCTGGAATTCTCATCTCCTCACACGTCATATGGCTGAATCCTTCTCATTCTCACCACCTCTTTTAAAATGGCCTTTCCTTATTCTCCACCCCGCCCACTATTCTCTATCCCAGTACCTGCTTATTTCCTTCATAGCATGTATCATGCTTTATAATTATTTTATTTGTTGATTTACTTATTTTAGGCTGTTTTCATTGGTAAAGTACAACAGAACATCTTTGTGTCAGGGACCATGTCTATTCTTGTTCAACATTAAATCTCTAGCACATATAGAATTTGTGATATATGATAGACTCAAAAATATTTGTTGAACTAAGAAATGAATGAATGGCATGTGCTATTCAGTAAGGATTTCTTATATATACAAGATTCCTGTTCTTTCAAACTATGTAGTCCAATAAAGGATACATACCTTTTATCAGACAATTGCAGTAGAACCTAGGTGTATGATATCAGAAGGACATAGTATTATAAGAGCACATAAGGTCTGAAGAGTTCTGCTTCTACTGTGATACATTGGTTTATTTGGACCAACCCTCCCACCAAGAACAACTGTAAAAGCTATATAAATTTTTTTTCCTTATTTTAAAGAGGAAAAAATAAAAAGCTTGTGTCTGAAGAGAACAACTAAGAGAACCAGGATTCAAGGCACCAACGTCTCTGAGACGTGAACCACAGAGAAGGAGCACTAGAATTCTTCACCACATTTTTCCTCAAGGCATTTACTAATTCCTAAGCCAGGAGAATGGGGGAGGTGTAATGGTACAAGAGACCAAAAAGCCAATCATAGCAGAGTAGCTAGGAGGTTAAGAAAATAAACAGAATTTTTAGCAGTTTTGAATTTCAGGGCCTGCATGAGTTCAAACCTGGTAAATATCTCAAGCTCTCAGTTTAAATCCTGGAGTGCTCTAGGAATAAGGACAAACTGGAAATATACCAGCTTTCACACAGACTGAAATTGAGCATCAAATTATCTCAATCTCTGATTAGGTCAGGCAATCTTTACTTTAATGAACTGCCAATGGAAATTAAATCCTTTCTAGAAAAATATATCATCCTCTAGAACCTCTTTAACTTTTTTCACATTTAATGTTTGGGCTTCAGTTTTTTAAAATCACCAGACATGCCAGAGACAGGTCAAAATCACTAAAAACTCAGAAAGAAAAACAAGATAGAACAGCCGTAAAAATAATGCTGATGTTTATTTGGTCCCATATGAAATTTTAAAAACTGTAATTAATATTTTTAAGAAAAAAGAAATGACAAATGTAGAATTTCACTGGGAAGCTAGAGTCCATTCATTATATTCAAAATTTTAGAAAAGGGATGGAAAATATGGAAATAAGCATAAAAGACATATGGGCTCTGGTAAAAGGTTTAACATACATGTAATTAGAGTCCAGAAGGAAAGGAAAGAGAGTGAGCGGAAGAAATATTTAAGAGATATTGGCAGAGTTTTCCAAAACCAATGAAAGACATCAGGCCAGAAATTCAAGGAAGTCTGCTAATGTCAAGCAAGATAAATACAAAAAACAAACAAATAAACACATACCCAAGTAATCATAGCAAAACCACTGAAAACCAAAGACAAAGAAGAAGTCTTGCCAGAAGGATACATTACCTCCAGAGGACCAAAAATAAAACTAACAAATGATAAGATATGATGAAACTCGGAAAGCAATGGCATAGCATTTGTAGAGTGATGAAAGAATATAAGGGCTGGTGTAGAACTGTATACACAACAAAAAGTACCTTAGGGGTGCCTGGGTGGCTCTGTGGGTTAAAGCCTATGCCTTTGGCTCAGGTCATCGACCCAGGGTCCTGGGATCAAGCCCCGCATCCGGCTTTCTGCTCAGCAGGGAGCCTGCTTCCCCCTCTCTCTGCCTACCTCTCTGCCTACTTGTGATCTCTGTCTGTCAAATGAATAAATAAAATCTTTTTTTTAAGAAGGTACCTTAAAAAGTGAAGATAAAATAAAGACATTTTCAGCCAAATAAAAACTGAGCACAGCTATACCAAAGGGAATTTTTTTAGTCAGAAAGATTGTGGAGGAAATAAAAAGATATTGGCTGTTTAAACAAGAAAGAGAGAGAGACAGAACATAGGAAATCAGATTCTACCAATGCGTTAAGTTACTGTATTTTGATTATAATGTAACCATTTAAAATTGGAGGTGGTAGTTCATGAAATGTCCTGGATATTCCTTTGGGTAGAAAAGCAAGTTCCAAAATGGCATGTAAATTTTTCTCTCATGCGCATTCAAAAAAAAATGTTTGTGTATGTATAGACAAGCTTAGCGGTGATGAGAAGGATGAGCCTAAAATTTTATTTTATACCATTTTATCTGTTTGCATTTTTACCATAATATATTTTTAACTTTTAAATTAAAATTAGTTAAATTTAAAAAAAAAAAAAGATTGTGGAAGGTACAGAAATGCAGAATGGATTAAAAACCAAAAGAAAGTGTTAATATGTGGTTAAAGATAAATGGGTGTTGATTGTATAAAATAATAATGTCTTATGAGGTTAAAATATGTTTATATATAAACATTGTATATTAAATTATAAATATAGAGTGTATCTTGTCTGTATAGCATATATAGAAATATGTATAATAGTTAAATATATATACACACACATATAAACACACATACTTAAAATGTATATAGACTATATGGTACATTATATCACAAAAAACAGAGAGGAATGAATGGAGTTAACTGATTTAAGGTTCATGCATTGTATGGGAAGTAATAAAAATAGCAAATTATAGTGGACTATAATAAGTCAAGAATGCATATTGTAATCTCTGAAATAACCACTAAAAATAATAATAAATGAATGTGTAACAAGCTAATAGAGAAATTAAAATAATAAAAATGTGATGAATTCAAAAAGCACAAAAGAAGAAAAAATGAAATAAAAACAGAAGTGACAAATAGAAAATAAATAGTAGGGTGATAGTTTTAAGCCCAAATACAGCAGAAATTATATTAAATGTAAATGGACTAAGTCCTCCAATTAAAAATTGTCATCTGTATTGTAAAAAGACAATAATTTGTCTTTGTAAAAATTTGATTGTAAAAATGGCAATAAAAGACCCACCTTAAATAGAAAGACATGGCAAACTGAACATAAAAGAGTAAAAAAAAGTTACAATGAAAGATAGCTGGTGTGGCTTTATCGATATCAGAGAAAATTAAGGTGAAAAGGATTACAAGATATTAGGAGGGACATTTCATATATTTAAATGGATTGGTTTATCAGAAAAATATAACTCTAAATTTACATCTCTTAATATAGCCTCAAAATAAAGATAAGCAATCTATGATCCAGTCTTGTGAATTAAGGGGAGGCTGAGAAAAGACTGAGACTGAGATAAGGGGTGGAGAGATGAACATAGGAAGAAAGAGTATTCCAGAAGGAAGGAAAAGCATTTTCAGAGACTGAGGGCAAGAAAGTCTTAGAAACTTAAAGTGATACAGTCTTGCTAGAATGGAGAGAGAGAGAAAGGAGGGTGAGGAGGGAGAAAGAGAGGGAGATTGAGATTGAGGAAGAGGAATGGGAGTGGATAGGAAGAGGATTCCCTCATGAGAGAGCAATGATTGTTAAAAGGGGGCTAGAAAATATGAGAATCATAGATATGATATTAAAAAGATGGGACTTTTTCCTGGAAAACAGGAAGTTTTGATGTATTATATGGTGGCTTGATCAGACTTTTTTTCAAGAGATCTCTCTTTCTGGTATGAGGGGAATGAATTGGAAGAAGGCAGGACTATTGGCAGAGAGACCTATTTCAACAATACAAGCGAGATGATTGAATAATACAAGTTGGCGGAGGTTGTGGAAATAGAAGGGAACAGATTTTTTAAATAAAGTGTCCCAAGCTTGGGCGCCTGGGTGGCTCAGTGGGTTAAGACTCTGCCTTCGGTTCAGGTCATGATCTCAGGGTCCTGAGATCGAGCCCCACATCGGGCTCTCTGCTCAGTAGGGAACCTGCTTCCCCCTCTCTCTGCCTGCCTCTCTGCCTACTTGTGATCTCTGTCTGTCAAATAAATGAATAAAATATTAAAAAAAGTATCCCAAGCTTGTGAAATATTTAAATTTTTAGTGGGTTTCTTAGATTAATGAACAGGAAACTCAGCAATAGACCTAGGGGTTGAGAAATTTTTAGGACTGCAATTTTTTTCTTTATGTCCACAAAACCAATTGCATGGCAATGTTGTCTTTCATTTCCAAAGGTCAGGTTTTATCAAACCACTGTGGATTAGTTGTAACTTTTGTTGGCAGATAAAAACAATTAAACTCCCTTGACTTTCTAGTTTAGAACTCCCTCCCTGTTGTTTATTTATTTATTTATTTATTTATTTATTTTAGTTGACTTATTTAGATTTCTTGAGAAATGTGTACATTACTTGAAGTCCATTAAGGAGAATAATGTGGCTCTCTTGACATAGCACAACTTCTTAAGCTTCTTATTTGTTAACATCCTTTCTCAAACAAAATTCTGTATTAAAAGAGAAACAATAACCCATCAAGTAATGTAGTTATTTGGTTTATTATCTAACTGCTTCCACTAGAATGTATTTTTTATGAAAGCAGGGACATTTTCTCTTTGTTCAAGCCTATTTCCCCCTATACCTAGTTTAGTACTCAGCATATACTAGGTACTCAATAAGTATTTATTAAAGAATAAGTGAATGATGGGAATGAAGAAATGAAGGAATTTGCCTTAGGTTAATCAACTTCATTAAAATGTTTCTTTTCATTTCAATCTTACAAATTCATTTTATTTTCATGTAAAGTTTTGAAAGTCTGGTATTAGAATGTTTGAAAATAAAGTGATTGTTTTTCATATTTGCAGGACTATCTCAAGCAGGTGCTGGACATTGATCTTCATGCTCAGATCCATTTTGGCAGGGTTTTTATGAAACCAGGGTATGAAAATAATCTTACTATCTCATATATGGGGTTGGTTTGGCTTGCTTTAACAAAGTTTTAAATGCTTTCTTCTTACATTTTCTTTTTTTTTTTTCTTCTTACATTTTCTATTATGGATTATTTGCTCTAATAAAAGAAATATTATACTATTAGAATTCCTTGCCAAGTCTAGCTCCTATCTGAAATGGGAATTCATCTTCCTTATAAATCACCTGGGTTTGTTATAAATGAAGCAAAGCAACTTTCTAAACCTCTTTAGTTCCCATGTCTAGTTCCTTCTTTCTATTTCTCTTTCTCTTCATAGTGCTTCTTTCTCTCATTTTAAAAACATTCTAGTATGAAAATTCTAAAAATTTGGGTGGCATCTGGGTGGCTCAGTCAGTTAAGTGTCTCCCTTCAGCTCAGATCATGATCCCAGAATCCTGGAACCCTTCTGACCCTTGCCCCTCTAGTGCTTTCTCTCTCTCATATAAATAAAATCTTGTGCTTGCTTCAGCAGCACATATACTAAAATTGGATCAGATAAACAAAATCTTTTAAAAAAGAAAAAATTCTCAAAATGCACAAAAGGAGGGAGTACAATGAAACCTCCGTGGAGGAGGAACTATCACCATTTTTCCATAACTGTTTTATCAGTCCCCTTCCTCACCTTTTTGAGGGGACAAGGTACTAGATTGTTTGGTGTTTTTTGTTTTGGGGGGTTTTTGTTTATTTTGGATTATTTTAAAGCAAATTCTACAATGTCATTTTGGTATACATCTCAAGTAATAATAATAGTAGCATTCTCTTGTGTAATCACAATGGTATTTTTCACCTAACAAAATAAATAAGAATAACTTACTGTCATCTGATACCCTGATCATATTCAAAATTCTCCCAAATGTCAAGAAAAAGAATGCCTTCTTACATGTTTTATTTGAATTAGAATTTCGGTCATGTCCATTCACTGTATTTGTTGTTAAATCTTTATTACATAATAACATTTACCTCCAACCTCCTTTTTTTGTCATGTCATTGACTTGCTGAAGAAACTACATCATTTGTCTTTACGAATGGATTTGGGTAATCACTTCCTTGTGGTGATGGTTAACTTGTTCCTCTCTTTTTCCAGTATATTCTACAGAGTGGAAGTTAGATCTAAAAGCTTGGTTACGTTCAGACTCTTTTTTTCCTTTGCAAAAATACTTCAAAAGTAGTGTTTCATATTGTTTCTTACTACCAACATGGAAATAGAAAAATAACTACATTCCAAGATCTGGCACAACTCCTAAAGTTGTGGAGGTCCTATAATCAGTTGTAAATCCTCAAAGAATGCCAAACATTGGTGTTGAAATATGTGTAGCCATGTCTTTAAGCAATAGTTTGCCTGTTTAGACCCCTACTACTCTATAAACTATTCACTATTCAAACACACCTCCGTACTGTCAGGGACAACAGTAAATAATGGTTTAGTTCAGAACTATACTCTGATGGGTGCTCATGTGAACCTGAAGAGAGAGTAGATGTGAGACTTACTAGTTGTTATGTGAGTAATTTATCAGTAAATTCCAGAAAACTTTTTAAAGTGTCAAGCCAGCCTTCCTAACCTCCCAGATTTGTTAGGTACCTCTCATCAGGTCTAGGACAGAGATAAGGCTTTACCGCCATGATTTTGCCATTTAAGTATGAAGTTAAGATTAACCATAAGTCTTCTGCACAATTTGATAGAATTTAGAATTCTTGACATTATATTTCTGTAGTTGCCCCAATATTACTACTCCTAACAAAGCCCATTTATTATTGAAACTGTTAGATTTGGACCATTCTCATTAAGAATATTTTGTCTTGAAACACCTGGGCGGTTCAGACAGTGAAGCATCTGACTCCTGATTTCAGCTCAGGTCATGATCTTAGGGTCTTGGGATCAAGTCCCACATTGGGCTCCACACTCAGCAGGGAATCTGCTGAGATTCTCTGCTTCTACCACTTCTCACTCTCTCTCTCTCTCTCAAATAAATCTTTTTTTTTCTTAAAGAATATTTTGTTTTAAGCAAATATTACTGTACTGTGAGTGCACGGGCTTTTTTTTCTGCCCCTATGGGCAGTACTAGTTCAAGTGGAATACAGAGGACATCCCAAAAGCCTATCAATGTGCTTCTCGCTAACCTCAAAAATTGAATTGGCTATTCTTTTTTACAGTGAAAAGGAAATTGATATTAGTTGCCCTCATCTGTAGAGGAGAATTATTTGTGGGTGGGTTTTTTTTTAAGATTTATTTACTTATTTATTTTAAAGAAGGGAGAGGGGGCAGAGAGAATTAGAAGAGAATTAGTTATAATATCTATTATTTAAATTAATCTCAGCATCTGTGATATATATAATTTTGGTACTATTTTTATTTTCAGTTTATTTTTTACCACTCATTAAGGCCCATCAGTTCCTAATGTTTATTTTCCCCCCTTAAAGTCATTACACTGTGTGACCTCAGTCATTGTATAAATGCTATTACATTCTGATCTCAAGAGGAAAACTGAATAGGTGCTCAGTTCCAAGGAAATGGCTTTCCAGAACTTAAACAAAAGCTTCACAGTCTAGCAATAGGACACTCATGATACAATGCATGATAAAATATTTTGTTGTAATAGAATCTTTTTAAATGAGTACCTTTTGAGAAATCACAGAACCTGTCTGCAAGATTCAAAAGGTGATTTAAATTGGCTTTAAATATAGTAGAAGGGAAGTGTAATGCATTCCCTCCTCATTGTTATTATATGTGTTAGTTTGCTATAATAAAATGGTTTAGAAGTTTAAATGAGCTTCCTTTACTTGGCCAAAATTTATACCTGTCTAAAGATGAGAAGAATTTAAAGGTAATTGCTCCTTAATAGTAGAACAAGAAGAAATATAAAAAGCTCAAGAACAATTTAGCTTTGCTCTTTCCACATATGGTGCATTAAGAATGTAATTGACCTCTTTCATTTTAGACAGAGAGATACTCAAAAAAACATTTGGATTTGGAGTATTATCAGTTAGGACTACCAATCACAATATTTGTGGGTCATCTACAGTGAACATAGCTGTTATCAAGAGTGTATCTTGGAAATTATTTTCATCACATAGTAACAGTCATGGCCAAATAACCTAGTCATAAATTGATATGATAATCTAATCTAGTTTTTCTAAAAGACAGCAAAGAATCAGAAAGTAAGCAAAAGAGGTCTCAGAGTAGCCAAAAATAGATGTTACAAAGTATACATACTAACACTTCACAGCAAACCATCTAAGGGCCTTATCTAATTACCAGCCATAAAGTTAGTGAAATCTTGGTTCAAATCTTTGTTTCATCACCTAGTAGCTAGGAGATTTGGACCAAATTTCTTAATCTCTCTGAGTCTGTTTTCTCATCTATAAAATGAGATGATAATTGTCACCTCATGGGATTGTTGTGAGAGTTAAAATGAAATAATGGATGTAATGCAGATGTTTCTTTAAAAATAGTAACATATTATTATTATTATGACAATATAATTATTACTACTGTTCTTGGTTCCCAAACCTAAAGCCAGCTTTTTTTTTCTTTTTTAAGAGAGGGAGTGTGGGGAGGGGCAGAGGGAGAGGAAGAGAGAGAATCTTAAGCAGGTTCCATGCCCAGTACAGAGCCCAACAAGGGGCTCCATCTCACAACCTGAGATCATGAGCTGAGCTAAAATCAAGAATCAGCTGCTTAAATGACTGAGCCACCTAGGCACCCCCTAAAGTCAGCTTTAAGTGCTCAGATGACAGAGTCTAGTGTTAAGGGGAGCCACAGAAAAAAACTAGGGGGGAAAAAAGAAACAAGAAGTGCAGTGTGTAATGTAGAGTTATGGTTTATAGGTAAAAACAATACATAACACACCCTTGTGACCCAACGTCACTTTAGTGTAGTAGAGTAGAATAAGTTAGTAATGATGGGAGCTCTTGGGAGGCTCAGTCAGGTAAGCATCCAACTCTTGATTTAGGTCCAGGCCATGATCTCAGGGTTGTGAGATTGTACCCCACCTTGGGCTTACATGCTGAAGGTGGAGTCTGCTTAAGATTCTCTCTCTCCCTCTGCCCCTCCCCTGCCCCTGACCCTGCTCTCTCTCTCTCTCTCTCAAAACAAACAAATAAACAACTTAATGATGGTTTCAAGTCATCAAAAAATGCTAATGTTTATCGGATTATTCCAAAAGGTATGAGTGGTTCATATTTGAAAGACCAAGCTGCAAAAATAATAAAATAAAATGATAAATATAATAATAATAAATATATAAATAAATATAAATAATAAATAAAATAATAAAAATAAAAGCAATTAGGTACTTAAAAAGATAATTTTTCGACTACATGGAAATTTTAGCATTCCCTAAGGATTCTGTAATGCTCAAGTTTCATTAATATAATGAAATTTTTAGCTGGAAGTTCATATAAAATATAGTCAATAAGAAAAAAAAATTCACTATTTTTGACTGCCCGGCCACTCCGTGCCACTCACACTCATCCCTTCCCACACACCACCATGATAAGGATTCATATCAGATAAGATTCATGTCAGAATCTTGAGGAAGTATAATTTGAAAATATTTTTAATTACTGTCGCTTTAATTTTGTTCTAGTCATGATATTTTATTTATTTTGACATTTCAAAAAATTACGTTCATAGGAGGCCAGTTTTTATGCTTATTGCTGAGTATAGTTTTAAAAGGTTGAGGAATAATCATCTTGAACAGCAGGCATTTATCTGATAGACATGTATTACCAGGTAGTCCTCTGATAATGAGAATGATGTTCTTCATTCTCCAGCAAACACAATATAGACATTATTAGCCAGAGGGGTGGAGAAACTCCGGGATTTGGGATACACTTCTCTGGCACTAACAGGAAGGGGGAAGAAAGTAAGCTGCAGAAAACCAAGAAGTTTGGTTACTTGAAAACAGAAGATACTAAAAACAAATTAATTTAAATGCTCTTGAAACTTCAGGGTATAAAGGCTTAGGGAAGAGTCAACAGAAAAAAAAATACTTTCATATGATAAATATCCTATATGCAGAGCCACATAGCAAGAAAACTAAAGTATTTAATTTACTCGTCATATTACTTAGCAGTCACTAACAAATAACCTCTTTTATTCTCTAGCCTGCCAACAACATTTGCAACTTTGGATATTGATGGTGTAAGAAAAATAATCTTTGCACTACCAGGTAAGAATAATTAAAATAGTTTCTTTTGCTTTTTCTGGAAATATGATCAAAATCTTTTTGAATCCCTCTCAGAGCATTTGATTTTGAATCTGAAAGACCTGGGCTCAAGACCCAGCTTTACTTCTCTTGGACAAATCACTTAACTTCTTTGAAGCTATTTCTTCACCTATAAAACAGGGCTGAAATCTGCTCTGTAGGATTGGTGTAAAGGTCAAATTAGATAGTATCTTTCAAAGCATATTCCAAACCCTAAGATGATAATCAAGTGTTAGCTGTCCCTAGATCCTTCTGGAGGTACCTGCTTTTCCTTACAGAAAATTGGTCAAAGTTAGTAGTCTAGTCACCTCCCATAGTAGCAGTATTGTGTTCAGAGGTCCAAACATCCTTGAATCAACCATACAGGTAATTACTAGAGCAAAAAAATACAAAGCTGCCTTTGGTCCTTTCCAGATTTGGAGTGGGGCCAGGAGACAACACGGAAGGAGGGACTAATAGTGCTGGTGCTTCTCAGCCAAATCCCAGCCATCATCAGTCTGACCACATCACTGTCCCCAGGCTTGCTCCCATGTGAGCAGAAGCTCATATGTTCAAATTGTAGAAAAAGTGAAGTGTTCCCATTTATAAAGACTTCCAATTTTAATTTTTATTGATTTTGGCTTATAGTTAAAGCCATGCTTTTTAAGTCATTACCAATGTGATAAATTCTAAAGCAATTTAGAAGTTTTGTATGCCTCCTTGTTATTTTTTCAGCTTTTAAAGTTATCTTCTGATCTGTAGCAGTGTTCAAGTCATTACCAATGTGATAAATTCTAAAGCAATTTAGAAGTTTTGTATGCCTCCTTGTTATTTTTTCAGCTTTTAAAGTTATCTTCTGATCTGTAGCAGTGTTCCATTCTCTGTTTCTTGGCACAGATTCCTTCAGAAAATAACCTGCTTATTTCTTTCAAATGCACAACTATTGTGACTTTGGGATATTTATCTGCTTTTCATATTAACTAAATTCAAAATAGAGTATAAAGAAAGGAAGGCAGGCAGAAAAATTTGAAAAGCTTTTTTTTTGAGTTTTGAGTTTTGAAAGCATTTTTAAAGTTCCTATGTATAAGAATAAAAGAGATTAGATTTCTATCCCATAAGAAATTTTAAGAGAGAAGACATGTCAGTAAATTAGTCCTTAAAAGGTATCTACAATATAGAACTCCTTGGGGCCTTTATTAGGGCCTTTAATGTATATATATCATTATATATATATATATATATAATGATATATATACATATACTTATGTACTCTGAAAAAAAAAATGTCCTCTTCCTCACTTCATTTTGCCTACACAAGACTTACTCTGTCTTCAGAAGATATTATTTGACCTATAGACAAAGAAACAATGTTACAGTGGAGGCCTATTTTGCTGTTACTTCTAAACTTGATTTGCCAAAGAAGTGATAATTAAATAACCTATTTTCAAATTGCTACTTTCACTTCAAATTTTCTCTGCCCAACCTGAATGAACCAAAAGAGGGCAGCAATAACCCAGATGTTCAGATTGTGGAACCAGTAAAGTGGTTCCTTTTAAAAGGATTTTAAAATTCATGATTATATTTCTGCTTTCCATGATTATATTCAAAGCCATTATTAATCTTGATAACTTTTAAAGCAGTTTAAAAGATTTATGTATCTACTTCATTTTGTGGAAGAGTAAAATTAGATTCTGAAAGGTTTGGAACTTTCCCTGAACGAAAAAGTGTTGCTCAGTTTATTTAGTTAACAGTACCACACAGGAAACTAAATCTGTGATTCTAAGCACAATTTTTTTCATAGCCTACTCTTCCTTCCTTCAAAGTGCATGACACACCCAGATTTCTTCTTGGAAAGGTACAACTGAATTCCTCAAATTTTTCTTATAACTTTTTTTTTTTTAAGATTAATTTATTTGAGAGAGAGAAAGAGCAAGGGACAGCAAGGGCAGAGGGCGAGGGAGAGAGTCTCAAGCAGACTCCACACTGAGCACGCAGCCAGTTGTGGGGTTTGAACCCCCAACCCCAAAATCACAACCTAAGCCAAAAACAGAGAGTCAGGTGCTTAACTGACTGCACCACCCAGGAACTCTAGTTTTTTCTTATAACTTTAAAAGAATTTGGTATTTCTATTAGTCTGCTAAGGCTGCCATAACAGAGTATCACAGACCAAATGGCTTAAACAACAGATAATATATTTTTTCACACTTCTGGAGACTGAAAGTCTAAGACCAAGTTGCCGGCAAAGCTGGTTTCTGTTGAGACTATCTTCCTGGCTTGCAGATGGTCACCTTCTCACCATGTCCTTATGTGACTTTTCTTCTGTGTGTGTGCACTCGAGGTGTTTCTCCCTCTTTTTTTTTTTTTAAGATTTTATTTATTTATTTGACAGACAGAGATCACAAGTAGATGGAGAGGCAGGCAGAGAGAGAGAGAGAGGGAAGCAGGCTCCCTGCTGAGCAGAGAGCCCGATGCGGAACTCGATCCCAGGACCCTGAGATCATGACCTGAGCCGAAGGCAGCGGCTTAACCCACTGAGCCACTCAGGCACCCCAATTTCTCCCTCTTTTTATACAGACACCAGTCTCATTGGACTGGGACCTCACCTTTAAACCTCATTTAACTTTGATTACCTCTTTAAAGGCCCTAGTATCTACAAATACTGTCATATTGGGTGCTAAACTTCAACATATGAATTTGTAGGGACACAATTCAGTCCATAACAGTATTTATCTTCAAGTCCTTTGTGTCTTAAATCATTTAGTTGTTTTTTTTTTAATATAAAGAAAATTCTGGGTAGAGGGGGGATTATAGATACATTTCTTTATGCTTAACCTATTTCTAAATGTTTTTGTCAAGCATGTATTACTATGGCAATTTTAAAACATCTTAAAAAATAGCAAGTAGAATCTGCTTTAAAATTTATCAAGATTGGTAATGGCTTCCAATGTGTAGTTCTCAGAAAAGTGGAAATAAATGGTGTAAACAGCTTCTGGGAATCAGAAGTTTCTGCATTTCACTGGTAGACTTCATGTTTACACGTCCTGTGGCATTTGGTTGATTGTGGCTCTATTCTAGAGTCCTTTGGGATTTAGAAGAGGAAGACTAGTGGTTAGTCACCTCACTCTTTATGATGAATGAAGGTATACACAATTATTTGGCAAACTTTTGTATGTATACTGTAAATAACTGCTTGGTTGACTTTCAGGGAATCCCGTGTCAGCCGTGGTCACCTGCAATCTCTTTGTGGTGCCTGCACTGAGAAAGATGCAGGGCATCTTGGATCCTCGGCCCACCATCATCAAAGCCAGGGTAATGTTATCTAAATGACCAGGAACCAAAACTGAAGCCTAATAACAATTAGGGATATGATTTCCCAACTGCCCAAAATATCTAAAATTTTATATTAGTTTTGAGGGAAAATGTGGTTATATTCCCCCCTTCATGATAGAAAATGGAGAGGAAAGGGTCCCTTTTATTCCCAGCCCAAATTATTCCACAACTTCTAAAGTGAATCATTTTCTCCAGCTAAAATCCATATGAAAGTGCATAGGTAATGATAAAATGGTAAATAGAATGAGACTAGCACTACCCTAAAACTAAACCTAAAAGGGACAAGAATTCCCTTTCCATTGTGCAAACTCACACAAGACAGCAATTTATCTGCTTGCTTTTTCTGGGACCTCACTGATAAATTTTAAATAGTCCAGAAAGAGATAATCAATGGACTAGAAGACTAGTGAATCAGAATGAAAGGGTGACCACATTGTGTGGAAAAGGAGAATTAAGGCTGAGGAATTATGCTTATAGTAAAAGTCACCCAGAAATTAGAGTCTCCTTCTCCACCAACACTAAATCAAATTCAATTTGATTTACTACTACTCAACTGATTATATAACACACTTTCTATATAACTAATGAACGATTTTCTCGGCGATATAACCTACCTCAAGCCATTGATCTTTTAAAAGTTTGATTGAGATACAACTGATATACAAAAAATTGAGCATTTTAATGAAATTGGACGTATGCATATGCCCATATCATCAACACAGTCAGCTTACTAAACATACCCAATACCTCCATCAATTTTCCTGTGTTTTTTTGTGGTTTTGTTTTTTATGTGTTTGATTTGTGATATGAACATTTAACATGAGAGCTACCCTTTTAACATATTTTAAGTGCAGAATACCATGCTGTCTACTATAGGTACTATGTTGTACAAGGGATCTCTAGAACTCATTCACCTTGCAGAAGAGAAAATTTATACCTGTTGAGCAACAACTCCCCATTGCCCTCTCCCCTCAGCCTCGGACAATCACCACTCTATTCTATGCTTCCATGACTGACTATTTTAACTAGGCACCTCATATAAGTGGAATCATGCAGTATTTATCCTTCTGTGACTGGTTTATTTCACTTACCATAATGTAATCTAGGTTTATCCATATTGCCACAAATGGTAGGATATCTTTCTTTTTTAAATCTGTGAATAATATTCCATTGTATGAATATAGCATTCTCCTCCATTCATCTATCAATGAACACTTGAGTTGTTTACATATCTTGGCTATCGTGAATAATGCTACATGGGCGTGTCGATATCGCTTTGAAATCCTGATTTCAGTTCTTTAAGATATATACCCAGAAATAGAATTGCTCTGTCATATGTTCACTTTTTAATTTGAGGGGAAACTTCATACTGTCTCCCTCAAGCACTAGTGGCTGAACGGTTCTACATTCCTACCGTTATATAAGTATTTCAGTTTCTCTACATCCTTGAAATACTTACCTTTTGTGTTGTTGTTTTTATAATACCCATCCTAACAGTTGTGAGATGGTATCTCATTGTGGTTTTGATCTGCATTTTCCTGAGATTAGTGATGTTGAGCGCTCTTTCATATACCTAGTGGCCATCTGTATATCTTCTTTAGAGAAATGTCTATTCAACCCCTTTGCCCATTTTTTTTTAAGATTTTATTTATTCACTTGACAGAGATCACAAGTAGGCAGAGAGGCAGGCAGAGAGAGAGAGGAGGAAGCAGGCTCCCCGTTGAGCAAAGAGCCCGATGTAGGGCTCGATCCCAGGACCCTGAGATCATGACCCAAGCGAAGGCAGAGGTTTAACCCACTGAGCCACCCAGATGCCCCCTCTTTGCCCATTTTAAAATCAGATTGTCTTTTCGCTATTGCATTGTAAGAGATTCTTATATATTTTGAGCTTAGAACCCTTATCAAATAGATGGTTTAAATATTTTCTTCCACTCCCTTGGTTCCCTTTTCATACTGTTGTTTCCATTGCAGTGCAGAAGCTTTCTAGCTTGATGTAGTTCCACTTGTCTAATTTTTATTTCATTGCTTATGCTTTTGGTGTCAAGTCTTAGAAATCATTGCTAAGACCAATCAAAAAGCTTTTCCTGTATATTTTCTTCTAGTTTTATAGTTTCAGGTTTTACTATAAGTCCTTAATCCATTTTGAGTTGATTTCTGTGTATTGTGTAAAAAAAGGAGTCCCAATTTAATCTTTTATATGTATATATCCATTTTTTCAAATACCTAAACTGTTATCAGATATGACAGAATAACTATGATTAGTTAACAGGAAGAACACAAGGCATAGAAGAGGAAGAAGAAATATTAATAAAATATTAGTGTGAGAATATAGAGGATAAAAAATAAAGAAAATCTAGGCTTCAGATATTCTTAACATTGACCTTATAAATACTGAGATTTTGTAGACTAGTATATGAAGGGATATCCTCCTTTTCTTAAAAGTTTAGCAAAAGTTCAACTAGATATTTCTGAAAACAAATTATTTGGTGTTTTTGTTTCAATAATCCTAGCAGTTGTCTTCTTTTAAATTTAATGGAAAAAGAAGAAAAAAGCTATCAATGAACAAGAAGTATTCTGATCAAATCAGAAGGTCAGAGTTATAAAGCTTAGATATCTAAACAGTAATATGAATTTGCTCACTATTTTCATATTTGCTATTTAGGAAATAAGAAAAATCCACATTGTTGTAAGAGAGAAAATGAGGACTTCTCTTTGACTTTGCAGAGTTCTTATGAATCTTTCCCATTTTTGAGGAATTCTTAGGATTCTTATGAATCTTTATTTCTCATTTTAACATTCACCATCTCTTCTTTAAAACTGACATTGTGGCAGCTATCCTTACTGACAACAGTGATTACTAAAGAGAGTGTCCTTGGCACATTGTTCACACTGCTGCTCATTTCTGTCAACTCATGGAATTGACAGTTGGTCTAAGAATCAGTCAAACTCCTTTCTCCCACAGAGCAGCGTCACTGGGACTGTCAGAATGTGTCCTCAGTGTGTTTGGCTGTTGACTTCTTTTGTTTTTAACTCCGAAAATCCTCCCCACTCTTTTCCTGACAGAACTGCCATTTTTAATGTATATATATTTTTTTTCTTTTTTTTTTAAGATGTTATTTATTCAACAGAGAGAGAGAGATTACAAGTAGACAGAGAGGCAGGCAGAGAGAGAGAGGGGGAAGCAGGCTCCCTGCAGAGCAGGTAGCCCGATGCGGGGCTCTATCCCAGGACCCTGAGATCATGACCTGAGCCGAAAGCAGAGGCTTAACCCACTGAGCCACCCAGGCACCCCAGAACTGCCACTTTTAGAACATAACTTTATTCACTTTCTTGAAACATGGTAAAACCTGTTGTTTCAATATTCTGGCCAGCCAATACGCAGCATACAGACACCACTTATTACTGTTCTCCAAAATGGTTACCATAATCACGGCCTCTCCCAATCCTTACTGCTTTCAGTAAGTGAGGTGGTTGTTAAACGCTGGTGTCAGTAACTCACAGTGCTGAATTTGAGGCAACTGGCCTATGGTTAGAGCAATGCTGCATTATTTTAAGAAATCACCAAAAAATGTCATCCTTTTATATTTATGCATTCTAACAAACATCAATTTAGAGTAAACACTTTCCCTATATCCTTGGTCAGTTATGGTTGAAGTTGAAATACTTCTGGTTTTCAGTAGACAATAAGAAACATAATCTTAATTCATTGAATTAGTAACCTAATATTTCTACAAAAGGATATCGTTTTGTTTCCTTAATGTATTTCCTTAATATCCCATCAAAGTACCCTATACTGCTCCTTGTTGTCAACTTTTTTCTCCAGAAACATACCTGAGATAACTCCTATTACTATTAATAGCCCACCTCAGGTAGTGATTAAGAGAAGGGAAAGGGAAAATATTATCATCTCCCATGGGACCAGGTCAGCATGTCCTGGGAGAGTATGGGCATGTTGAACTCTACTGGACTATTCTAATTTTTCCATCTTACCTCTTCTCTTGAACATTACTGACCTCATGCTGTAAGAACTTGGTGAATGCTTCCTCTCTGCTGTCATAAACAGTAAAATACAAAGCACTTTAACAAAATCCTTATTTTGTTTGAAAATTACTGGGGCGCTTGGGTAGCTCAGTCAGTTAAGCATCTGCCTTCAGATCAGATCATGATCTCAGGGTCCGGGGATCAATCTCACATTGGTCTCCCTGCTTCTCCCTTTCCTGCTCCCTCTTGTGCTCTCTCTCTCCCTCCCCTTCTCTGTCAAATAAATAAATAAAATCTCTTAAGAAATAGAAAATTGCTAAGGTATTTGCAACTCTAGAGAGAAATATCATTGTTTATTGTGACAAGAGCAGTCATTGATCATCAAAAGATATATTGGATGCCTGTTTTATGAGAATATTAGAGCTTGCGGTTTAAAAAAGATAGCTAAGGATCTCTCTGGTAGAGAAATCATTGCCTCACAACTTCATAGTACTTATCTAAAAAGCTAGTGTAAAGCTGCCATAACCATACTTTGGAAGCTTTGACCAGACTGGAGCCAAGTCCAGGCCCCCAGGACCAACCAGGGCCTTGAGCATGTTATTTTGGGCTCCCACCCACATAGAATCCTCTTTGGTCGTCTGTTTTCTCAAAAACTCTCTTCTCTAATCTATACAGTCCTGAGTCCCAACTATTCCCCTGAATCTTTTGGAGTTCACTGCCATCAAACCTTCCAGTGACATTCAGGTCTTTGGAAAGTGTCTCATAGTCTACCTCTGTACCTCACCTCTTACTGTCAGTTGCTTTATTTCCACAATTCTAAATACCTTTATTTCCACTTCAGCAACTCACGCATACATCCTTTTTCAATACCTGAAGCACTCCATCTCAAAATCACCAAGTCTGGTGTACAATTTAGGAAAAACAGCAAGTTACCTATCCATAGATATAAAAGGGTATAAATACTCCTTTTACTTCTACCCTTTTCTATCAGTCCTTAAGCCCCTCTGGCTTTGTCACTTTCCTCATCCAACCTAAATCCTGTAGTGTAGCATGTCAGGCATGTCAACTTTTTATTTTTGCCTCTTCCTTCCACAATAGCCCACTCTAAGGATCCACAAACTTGGATCAATCCTCCCTTCTTTATCCTTCACTTTTATTTCTAGGCCACAACTAGAGAAGAGTCTACAGCTGTTTGCATTATCACTTCCAATTTACAAACCTCATCAGGGACCCAAATTCCCCTTGTGATCCCTTTATATCCTATGGATCAACTTCTTCCATTTGTTTCTATAGCCTTCCAAATCTTCACCATTTTCCCAAAACTGCCCTTGCAATCCATATCCCTTGACTTATGTAAACAAATAAACCTGGCTTTGAATAAACCTGACTCCAACATTTACTAGATTATAACCCTTGACGTGTTTAACGATTTCCCTTCTTCTAATCTTGCCTCCTCTTAAACCTCCAATCTAACTCTAATCATGTAAGCTTCTCTGACTAAAATGCTTCCATCTTCCCATGACCCCAGGGTTAAATCCAAACTTCCCCACGTGAACATAGGAGGCCCTTCATCCCAAGGCCTTTTTTCCCCTCCAGCTTCATCACCATCTCATCCTGCACTCTCACCATATTAAACCATTTACTGCTTCCAGAATGGATATGAGATCCCCTGCCTGTGCCTGTGATTATTCCCCTTCCTAGAAGTTTCTTCCCCAACCACCACCATTTCCTTTCTCCAGCTTTCAAGATTCCTTAGTCATAAAACTCTGATACCGCATCCCCTGTGAAGCCTTTTTCAATGTCCCTAAAAAGGGTTGATTACTTAGCATCTTTGTGCCCTTTTAATATCATATTAACAGCGAGGAATAAAATTATTCCACTGTATTTGCAATTAATTATTTACTCTGAGAATTCTGTAAGATCACTTCTCTATAAGATGGGCAAGACAAAAAGGAAGGACAAAATATTCTCCTTTTTTTTAGTTAATAAATTTTATTTTTTAGATATAGGTTCACTGCAAAACTAAATGGAAAGTGCAGAGAGTTCCCATATATCCCCTGTCCTCACACATGCTTAACCTCTCCCACTGTTGACCTCTGCACCAAAGTGGCACATTCGTTATAATTGATAAACCTACACTGATAACATCATTACCACACAAGGTTACCAATGGTTCCCTGTTGGTGTTGTATATTCTGAGGGCCTTGACAAATGTATAATTACATGTATCCACCACTGTCCTGTCATACAGATTAGTTTCACTGCCTAAAATTACCTTCTGTGTCCTGCGTGTTCATCCCTTCCTCCATGCTAATTTGGATCTTTTTACTGTCTCCATAGTTTTGTCTTTTCCAGAATTATGTGGCCTTTTTAGACTGACTCTTTTCACTTAGCAATATGCCTATATGTTTCCTCTAAATCTTTTAATGGATTCATAGCTCATTTTTTCTAGTGCTCAATAATATTCATTGTCTGGGTGTACCACCATTTATTTATCCATATACCTGCCAAGGGACACCTTGATTACTTCCAGGTTTTGACAATTATGGGTAAAGCTGCTACAAACCCATGAGAAGGTATTTGTGTGGACATAATTTTCAATTTAGTTGGGTAAATAGCAAGGAGCGCAATTGCTAAATTTAATAGTAAGAGTATGTTTAATTTGGTAAGAAACTACCAAACAGTCTTCCAAAGTGGCTATACCATTTTGCATTCCTACCAGGAATGAATAAGGGTTCCAATTCCCCCACATTCTCACCAGGATTTGATGTGGCCAGAATTTTGCATTTTAGCCTTTGGTAGGTATGTAATGATATCTCATTGTTTTAGTTTTTTGCAATTCCCTAATGACATATGATGTTGAATATCTTTTAATATGCTTACTTGCCATCTGTATGTGTTCTTTAATGAGCTATATATTGAGGTCTTTCACCCATATTTTTTTAGAGATTTGTGTATTTATTTATTTATTTGAGAGAGAGTGCACACAGGGGCAGAGGGAGGGGAGAGGAAGAGAGAATCTCAAGCAGACACCCTGCTGAGTATAGAACCCAATGCAGGGCTCCATCTCACAACCCTGAGATCATGACCTGAGCTGAAATCAAGAGCCACCCAGGTGCCCTTTGCCCATTTTTTGAAAATATTTATTTATTTGAGAGAGAGAGAGAAAATGACAGACAGAGAAAGAGCATGAGAAGGGGGAGGATCAGAGGGAGAAGCAGACTCCTTGCTGAGCAGGGAACCCAACACGGGACTGGATCCTGGGACTCCAGGATCATGACGCGAGCTGAAGGCAGTCGCTTAACCAACTGAGCAACCCAGGTGCCCCTCCTTGCCCATTTTTTTAATCAAGTTGTTTTGTAATTGAGTTTTAAGAATTCTTTGTATATTTTGGATAACAGGCCTCCATTAGATGTTTTTTACAAATATTTTCTCCCAGTTTGTGGCTTGTCTTCTTATTCTGTTGACTTTTTTTCTAATTTTCTCCCGTAAATATTTACATGTTAATATTTACACCATATAATACTATACCGCATAATACAGTTTTGTCTCTTGAGTGACTATTGCATGTCAGAAAAATATTCAAAAGGAAACAGAGGAAAGAGTCCGAGTCCACAGCCCACTTCAATTTTGAATGACTAGAAGAAGTCATTGAAGTGAAACATCAATTTTTTTACCAAAAAAAAGTCTGTGTTTCTCATTCATGTACATCATTCTTATAAGCAGTGACACTCATAGTAAGTGGTTTCTGAAGCTGAGTGATACAATATGCCAGAACTATAATGTCAGTACAACTAAATATATTGGCTAATAAGGTATTCTGTGTTTTAGTAAAATACCATAAAAATCTAGTCAGTTTCATCTCTTGCTGTAATTCATTCTTGTTTCTTAAATTACCACAAATATCTTCCTTTAAAACAAACAATCCCATTTCGTAGATGAACAAACTGGTACAGGAAAGCAAAATAATTTGCTAATACAGCACATCCATTAGGAGTACAAGTGGGAGTCAAACCTAGCTGTCAGATATCACCCCATCCTGGTGTTTGTCCCACCGAACTACCAAGAGCCAGTCCGTGCCTTTGTTGAGGGGAAAAAAATCTGCTTAAACACTTAGCAAATAACACAGCCATGGGAATGGCTCTTGTAGTTTCATTCTGGAGAACACCCATACACACAGAGAGGAACTGAAAAAGAGACATTTTTGCCATCAAAATAAGCACACACTAATTTAGGAATAATGGCAAGTTACACCTCAGTAGATACGAAATAGTTGCATATGATTTAATCAAGGAAAAATACCTTAGAATTGAATTTTATTCAGGATTCCAGAGGAAAAGCAGGGATTGTCAGAGTGAATAATTAGAATCTTTAAAAACAGCGTAAACAGGTAGAGAGAGGGTGGTTGGGTTATGGACATTGGGGAGGGTATGTGCTATGGTGAGTGCTGTGAAGTGTGTAAACCTGGCAATTCACAGACCTGTACCCCTGGGGCTAATAATAAATTATATGTTAATAATAAATAAATAAATAAAAATAAAAACAGCATAAACAGAATGGATTGAAGATAGACTTACTGAAATCAAAAGTTCTAGGATCTTCAAGTTATATTTTATCACTGGTCTAAGTAATACCTGTTTTAGTTCGATAAAGGGTTTCTGGACCATTTTAAGGTAGAGTAACAAATGATTATTATGCTAATGGAAAATGAACAAGTCTTATATTCACTAACATTGAACTAATCTTTGATGGACTATAGTCCATAATTGTATTATGTGTATTAGCTCGTTCAGGGGATACCTCTTAGGCACCTGGTACCAACACATTATCACTTTAATTTATCAGATTTCAGGGTAAATTTAATGAAATAGATTTTTTTAATGGCTCTAGGTTAAAGGTTAATTAGTCGTTCCATATTGTGTGTAAACTGCAGTTGCTATATTAGAGAGGATTTTGTCCTTATTGGAAAGCTATGAAAGATGCCCAGCAAAGACTCTTTTAGGAATTCTTTTAGTATGTGCTAACAATAATGGTATAACTTTTAGAATAGACTACTTTTATTTGCCTTAAACAAAATTATATCTCAATATTGGGACACTAGGGAAATATTCAAGAGAAAAGGTAACTAGCCCTTTTATTTTAAAGGTAGGTATATGAATGGGTAGCTAAAAAGTATCTCAGTAAATATTTATTGTAGGGATAGACAGATTGACAGACATATAAATGGATATTGAGCTTATTTGTTTGTTTAGTTCTTTCTTTTATTTTCAGTGTTTAAAAAAAATCTGCTTTAAAAAAAATTTTGCTTTGATTTTTCAATTTATAAATCAGAGTTATCTATACTATCAACCCATAAAATTAGACTTCAAAGATAGACCTTATCTTTTTCATCTGCCCTTTTCCCCACTATGAATGGGGAATAGCTGCCTTTTCTCTTTTCACCAGAGCAACCCAGCTTCTGGACTTCCTGTATTAGGAACATAAGGTGGCAGTGGTGGAAACAGCAGAATGCCAGGATATTTTTCATGTCTACTTTATTCTTTGCACAACTCCCACCACCCTGTAGTTTTAAGAGATGATCAGGTGATCAAGTTTGTTTTCATTTACTGTGTATTCTATAGTTATCATGTGATGTAAAACTGGACCCTCGCCCAGAATACCATCGGTGTATACTGACTTGGCATCACCAAGAACCACTGCCTTGGGCACAGAGTACAGGTTAGTCATTCATACCAGTGGGTATTTCTATGCATGTATCCTATTAAAACACAAAACTATGTATAACCTCTCTTCCTTGGATATACCTAATTTTGTAATTGTTATACATTGTCCTTTTTGAAAGAGTAGATGAGTTAAATTACTCCCAAACAGCACAGCGTAAGAAGAAAACAAGAGTAAAAACAGATTTTTTTAATAAAGGTTTACTTATTCCATTGAACCATATTTTCTAGATACACTTTTGAAATATAATTCTAGAATTATAGAAGATTTTTTAAAAAGATTTAATTTATTTTTCTGTCAGAGAGAAAGAGCACACAAACAGGGGGAGTGGCAGAGGCAGAGAGAGGAGTAGGCTCCCCGCTGAGCAGGGAGCCCGATGTGGTACTCAATCCCAGGACCCTGGGATCATGACCTGAGCCAAAGGCAGCTAGTAAACCGACTGAGCCACCCAGGCTTCCCAAGAATTATGGAAGACTTTTATGTATATGTTCAATCTCTAAGTCCTGAGTATAAAAGTTTGGTTGTAAAAAAAAAAAGGAGGGTACTATGATTATACTACCCTGTAATGTGAGATACAAGCTCAATTATAATGGGATTCTCTGTAGCCTCTATTGTATCTTAGATATTGGTAAAGTTTAAGGACTAAGAAATCAATATTGATAACTCAAGAGTTCTGTAGTTACCTCCTCTAGACTTTAAACTTTTATTCTCAAGTATTCTAGTCATATTTACCTAACTTTTGATGTGTCTCCAGAAAAACTGTATTACCCTTTAAACAAAGGTCCTATCAAGTGCAAATATCAGTTAACATAGTGACTGAATACATAGGCAGTGTTTCCTTCAGACTTGCATTCAAATTGGCCACCAACTAGTTAGTAGGACCATAGGCAAATTAACCCCTTTTGAATCTTATACAAATTAAATAAGATAGTTAAGAAAACTATCCGCTGTGCTGTCCAGCACTTAGTAAACACTGAAGAAATGGTTATTGTCTTTTTAAAAATAAGTTTTAAAAACCTCTCTTTTCAGACACACATAACATTTTAGCCTGAACTGAAAATTCGGTGGCATTTTGCATGGTGCTATAAAATCCTGTTTTGTTCTTTGAAGCAGTAATTTCTAATGTTTATTTTTAAAGTTTAGTGAGAAGGAAGTAGGATACAGTGGCAAGGCTCCCCTTCCTAGGGGAAGCCTGATCTTCTCTCTTCCTCTCTAAGACCGGTGTTTCTGTTCCTTGGTGTTTATTTTGAAAAGAACTGCAAGGACTCCCAACTGTATGCACTGTGATGTTGCTGCTGTAATGAGATCTTTCTTTCTAGGTAATCAGATGAGCAGCCGTCTGATGAGCATGCGCAGTGCCAACGGGTTGTTGATGCTACCTCCAAAGACAGAGCAGTATGTGGAGCTCCACAAGGGCGAGGTGGTGGATGTCATGGTCATTGGACGGCTATGATGGTCACCAGAGCAAGAAAGCTTGATGCATGTCCACATATCATTGACTGTATCCTGTAATATGCAACGGCACAGCTAGTTTTTCTGATTTGGATAAAAGTTGATCTGTATAGTCAACATCTTGAACTATATTTCAGAAGAATTTAAATACCTTTTAAAGAAAAAAACACCTAAAAATAAATCTTAACAGACAACTCTATTCTGATTATATCAAAGCAAATTTTTCCTTTCCTGCAAATTGCTTTGTGTGTTCAATGCTAGGTCTGATAGCGATAGCTTTTAGTAGACAGCAGTAGGTGCCTGCAGAACTTGTGTTTTTCTCATCTTTAAAATACAACTAATTATGCTCTTAATCAAGGCTGTCTGCTTATTTATACTAGCGTAGGCAACACTTGGATTTTCCTTCTTAGTATGCTTCATAACGCTTTTCAGAGAGCTTTTGCTTGTTCTTTATCATGTATCTCGTGTTTATGTGCACAGTGCCAACAGAAGAGTGACTGGGTGGAGGCCCTGCCCTGCCTCAGGGAGAAACCTCCCCTGCAGAGCATGGGGAGGTGCCTCCCCCCAGTAGCCTCAAGGCACAGTACTCTTGGGCAGTAACTGGATACCTTTTATTTGAGTAAACAAACTGGGGGGGAAAATTGCTTCCTTAAGTGCTGACAGCCTTTTTAACCAATACATTTAAAATTGTACAGAACAAAAAATAAAATCAAAGACTGATCTTGTACAGATATTAGTGTTACCAGCATTCATGTGGAAATCAAGAGCAAAGAAAAAATAATGTTAAACAACTCTGTACCATAACATTTTCTGTAATGATACTGAACCTTAATGAATAAAAAAAAAATCCTTGATCATTATTTAAAAATCTATTGTATTGGTCTTGTTATTAAAAAAAGAGAAGATGCCATTTTAATGCAGTTCTGCTTGGACAAAAGGAATAGTTAAGATGCTGTGTCAAGGGTAAGTGGTATAAAGGTGGTTGAAAATGTGATATAATTTATCTCTATTTTACTACAGCATTGCAAAAATACAAATTAGAAAATATGAGAGAGAACCTACAGTTGGTCTGGTCTTTTCAGTCATAGCTAGAAAATAACAAGCAAATTTAGAGGGAAGAAACCTGATACAGAGAAAAAAACTAATTTCTTATCATAGATGCAATAAAAACAAATTTCAAACATCTACAGTTCTTTGGAATGGAGGAAAAGAATAAGTAATGAACGAGAGAATTGCTGGTGAGTATCTAGAAGTTTTTTTTATCATGTTAGGAAGGAAGTGAGAAATGGGAAAAATCTGTGCTACACATAGAAAATATTACAAACAAAATAAACTCTGTCCACATGCATCCAGTAATAAAAAACTTAGAGGCACTTTCTTTTTTTTTTTAATTAAATTTTTTAATTTTTTTATAAACATATAATGTATTTTTATCCCCAGGGGTACAGGTCTTGTGAATCACCAGGTTTACACACTTCACAGCACTCACCATAGCACATACCCTCCCCAATGTCCATAACCCTACCACCCTCTCCTGAGCCCCTCCCCCCAGCAACCCTCAGTTTGTTTTGTGAGATTAAGAGTCATTTATGGTTTGTCTCCCTCCCGATCCCATCTTGTTTCATTTATTCCTTTCCTACCCCTCAAACCCCCCATGTTGCCTTTCCACTTCCTCTTATCAGGGAGATCATAAAATAGTTGTCTTTCTCTGATTGACTTATTTCACTAAGCATAATACCCTCTAGTTCCATCCACATCATTGCAAAAGGCAAGATTTCATTTCTTTTGATGGCTGCATAGTATTCCATTATATATATATTACATATATATTTATATATTATATATTTTTATATATATATATTTATATATAATATATATATAAATACATACCACATCTTCTTTATCCATTCATCCATTGATGGACATCTAGGTTCTTTCCGTAGTTTGGCTATTGTGGACATTGCTGCTATAAACATTCAGGTGCACATGCCCCTTTGGATCACTACATTTGTATCTTTAGGGTAAATACCCAGTAGTGCAATTGCTGGGTCATAAGGTAGCTCTATTTTCAACTTTTTGAGGAACCTCCATGCTGTTTTCCAGAGTGGTTGCACCAGCTTGCATTCCCACCAACAGTGTAGGAGGGTTCCCCTTTCTCCGCATCCTCGCCAGCCTCTGTCATTTCCTGACTTGTTAATTTTAGCCATTCTGACTGGTGTGAAGCAGTATCTCATTGTGGTTTTGATTTGTATTTCTTAAAGGCACTTTCTAATAGTGGTAACAAGGGACAGTAAATATCCTGTAGGGTATACTTAACAAATCAAACAACAAAAGTTGGGCTACTAGTAAACAAGGTGTCAAATGATGGTGATGAATAAAGCCAAATAGTAAATAAGAAAAATTTGATACTGATATTTTTATATTTCCAGAGTTGAAAATAGAACTATCTATATTTTAAATATTTTATATTTTCATTTAAAGAACTTAAAGTTAATTAATAGAAGTTAAATGAAAGATCATGCAAAATGTTCTTTACTTGCATTCTTTGAAGAAACATGTATTAAGCATCTACTATAGGCTTGGGTACAAGGTACACCTGCCACTGTTTAAAAAAAGTATAGGGATAACAACTGACATTATACTCCATCGAGGGAAATGACAAAAATGTACAAGTAACCATAATATTTAATATGCTTGATATTTGGTAATACATGGTAGAGTATATAGAATATGATAAGTACCATAATTCAGATTTAAAGAGTTGGGAGAGTTCAAGTGAGAGCCTCCTCAAGGTAAGATTTCAAGGAGCAAGATGGGATTTTAGTGATCTTGAAGGAAGAGTAGAATTTTAATGATGATGATGATGCAGGAAGAAGGGTATTCCAAAAATAGAGGATTATGGGCAATTAATAATAATTATTTTTATCATAGAATGTATGCTCCACCTGCCAAGGATTTTTGTTTATTTGGTTCACTGATATCAGAGTCCATACTCTTACAGATCACACTACAGAAACAGAAAACTGATGTATTTATAAGACCAAAAAAGTACATTATGGGTTTGAGGCCCAAACTAAGAAGTTTTAAATACCAGCTTAAGGAGTATAGATTTATTCTAGAGATATCAAACTGTTTCAAGACTCCTAATCAGGGAAATGTTAGGATCAGAACTGTCTTTTAGGGAAAATGTTCTGGCAGCACTGAGGAGGACAGATTAGCCTGAGGGGAACTGGAGTGAGACAGGAGTTAAGTGATCTGGTGCTGCAGCTGGGGGGTGGGGGGGTGGTGCGGTGATGACAGCCTTCACATGACAGCCTTCACATTAGTGGTGTGAGTGATGGTGGTGGGACGATCATGACAGATGAATGTGCTTCCGGACATAAAGAATGGAGTGAGTTTTATGACTGATTCCAAATTCTGGAAAGGAAGGTATTGAAGTAAGAGATGAATTAAACTCTGGTCTTAACTGACAGAGAAAATATTAAACCATTAGCAAAAAAAATGAATTTTGTGGAGGAGATGATGGGTTTGAATCTATGTTTGAGACACCAGAGGAATACTAGGGTAGGCGTATCCTGTTGGCATTTAAAATATAGGTTAGGAGCTCACGAAAGAGATACTGGCTGGATATAACCTTGGGGATCATTTACGTGGTCGTGGTGTTTGAAATATAAGGGTGGATGGGAAAGATTAACAGAAGAGCACAAGGCCTTGGGAAGCACCTAGTATTTTGAAGTGTTGGAAGAAAAAGACCATGAATGGAATGAAAGAAAAAGAAGTTTGTAGAAGAGAAGAAACCAAGTAATTAAATGTCCCAAAACCAAGGAGTGTTTCAAGAAGGAAGGATAATCAACTGTGAAGAAAAAAAAAGAAAAAAATGTCAAGCATGAAGGCTCAAAATGATTTGCTAATTAGGCAATCATTTGTGAGCTTCAAGAGTGCAATTTCAATAGTGGGTTGAGGACAAAAACCAGGATGCAAAATAGTCACTGTGAATATAGATTATTTGGAAGTTGTACATGTGAAAATATAGATACCAGATGGTAGCTTAAACTGATAAGGTGGAAGAAGGACTTCTGTTTGTGAGTTTTGAGAAAGAAGGAAAACAGTATTGGGCATATTAAAAATGCAAGAGTAAGGTGCCAGATAGAAAAAGAAGACAAAGGAAGGGCTGGATTTAAGGATGCTGGGGGCCTAATTAGCCTGGAGAACATATATGTGTGTGTATATATATATATATATATATATATATATATATATACACATTTGAAGTAGATATAAGGGAAATTTAATTTAAAATTTAAGATTCAATGAAATGGTTATACTTGGCACAGTGGAAGTCAATGCCATTTAATCTATTTGCATATATTTGACCTAAGTTATTTTAAAATTACACATATATGATGTAATTACAATTTTTGTCTTATTTGATACTTAAGTAAAAGCCTATAGATGACATCTTCAGATTCTTATAACTATATGGAAGTCAAGCAGTTCCTTTTTAACCTGCATTTTCGGTTCTGTTTTAGTTGTTTCAAACCATATCACACAATGAGAAAAAGAACATAAGCAGATTGAGTGTGCCAAGTAAATGCTATTAAGTGATGTTGTATGTTACAAGTGGATTCTTTGGATGGCTTTCATTTTTAAAATTATTTGCTAATGAACAAAACTTTGTGGACCTAACATACAACCAACTCTTGATCTTCATGAAACTCTGTATAACAAGGTAAGTCTTCATTATTCCCACATATAGAAAATAGATATTTATGTAAGTACAGAATTCAAAGCAAATGAACTATGTATCTTGTTATTCCAATTATGATGGATCTAAGTTAAATAATGCATTGCATTCCAACTTGCTTATAGAAAGTATTAAGCTGGACTTTATAACAGAGAATTACATTATTATAATGTTAATAACTTGACCTAGAGCAAAAAGGTTAAAGAATTGCTCAATTTGGGCCATTTTATATGGTCAGCTACTATTATGTCTCCAGTAGTATTTTTGCAATAACTCAATAACTTATTGAACAAGCATTTATTAAGTCCCTACAATATTCAAGCTCCAAGCTGGGCACTGAGGTTACAGTGAGGAATGAAACAAAGACTCTGATATCCAAGTGGAGGACGTAGATTTTGAGAAAAAAAATTATTTGAAATACAGATTATGAAAAGTCTATGAGGAAAATCCTATGATATGTTAGAGAGTAACTGGATAGAGGCTTAAATCATATTTGGTTGTTGCATCAGGGTGCAGCCATTAATAAAAAAGACAGAAATCACACTGAGACTTTATGAATTAATGAAATAAGTGTTAGAGACATGGAAAAGCACAAAGGAAACATTAAGATGTCAGAGGAATAACTATAGGAAGCAACTATCACAACAGAATCTGGGCGGCAAGTGGAAGAGGTTAGAGTAATCAGAATCTAGAAGGTCAGAGATGAGACCCTTTGGAGCTAGGACTCAACCCTTTAAGGAAAGGGCACTGCCCAGCTGCTAATTTTGAGTAGGGGGAAGAAATGGGGGCTAGAACCAGTTGCTGTTGCCAGGGTAACACTGACAGAAACACAAAAGGAACAGGAAGGAGCACAAGTTCCTTCTTCCCTCCCTCTGCCTTCCAAGATCCCTGTAGTCTAATGTAACCTATTGTTGAACATAACAGGAAGGCAGCTGGTGAAAGACACTGCTGGCAGAGTTCCAGCACCAGCACCACAATGCAGAATGCAATGGTGGATTCCGAGCTGAGAGATAATCACTGATCAAGTGACGGGGAAGGGCGTCTCTAAACAGGTGACATCTGAGCTCAGATCTAAAAAATGAAAATAAGCCCCACATGTTAAGAATTGAAAGAAGAGCATTTCAAACAGAGGAAAGGGCTTAAAGCATACAACATCAGAAAGGAGACAGAGTATGATGAGGGACGGGGGTGAGTCTGAGCTAGAACTGAAGTCAGGATGAAGCCAGATCATTCTCAACGGAAGTGCAGGTTCTTGGGTGTAATACTACATACATGCACACCTTATGCCAAATCTGCTAAGAGCATTGGGAAGCCACTAAAGGTTTAAGAAAAAAGTCGACTATTTGCTAAATACCCATTGAGTATGAGGCACCATGCTAGACAAGGATTCTTGAGAACAAGGAACCCATTCTCTCTGCCTTCTACACCTGTTCCTCTGTCTGCATTTTGTTTTCTAGTCTACCCAGTTTCCCAAACCAGAAACCTCTGAGTCACTTTTTCTTCTCACTCCCCACATCCACTTAGTCACCAAATTCTGTTAACTCTACCCACAGTTACTAAATAACCCTCTCCTTTCCATTCTCACTGCTATTACCTTGATCACTCCTCTGCCCCAAGAACTGCACTCCCCAAATCCATCCTTCACACTGCTGCTAGAGGGATCAGTCCAGATCACAGATCTTCTCAGGCTAAGACTCTGTTAGAAAACTGCTGTAGCAGATGAGGGCCGAGCACCCAGTTAGGACATTCAAAGTCCTCTGGAACCTAGCCCCTCCCTCCTCCAACTCCACTGTTCACCTCCCGCTCTGTGTAACACTGGACCATTTGCAGTTACCCCTTCAAGCCACGTCATTTTAAGCCTCGACGCGTTTGCCCAAGATGGCTAATCTTTCAAGATTTAGTTTGGGCCTTAACTCTTCCAAATCCCCAAATCTCCAAAATGGACTAAGTGCCCCCTCATCTGGCTCCCACTTATCACTGCATCTCGTTGGAATAGTCTGCTTATATGGCAATGTTTAAAATATACCATGATTTTTATTTCCCTCTTTTGTGTTTTCTTCACTTTTTAATACACCAATAGCCTTAAAAAATGGAAGTGAGATAATACGGAAGAGTTTCATCAAGGTACATCAGAATTAATATCAACATGGAAAAGAGGAGATAAGATTTATGCAAAAGTGTTTCCTGGCCTTGAAGCAGGAAGAACAGGAACATGGCAAAGGGTGGTCATGCAATAAATTTGCTGAATGAAGAAATGGATGATTAGAAATCTAGTCAATGGTGCTCATATGATGAGAGGAAGAATGTTGCATCTGACAGAGGACATTCAGGATAGAAGACAGGAAAAGGAGTGTCTAATGCAAAGATAACAGGAAACCCTCTGAGCCTGCAGACTGAAGCAGCAGTTATATGCGGAGACCTCTCACTAGAGCCTGGTGCCTTTCAACATTCAAGTTATATATCCAGCCTTCAATTCTGCCTGCTATATATCCTACGAGTGGGGATGCCATAGCCTCCATGACACCAACACCTGGTCCCAAATTAAGTTATAGTTCTTGAAGAAATAGGAATACAATCATCCTCTCAAAAACTAGCATGGTTCATGTTTATTCTGAGAAACTGAGTGTTCGCTGGGCCTTGTCAAAAGCAAGTGTTTAAGTCTAGAATACGGTGACCCAAATGAAGTAAATTCACTAAGGTCGTGGGCTCCCAGGCCTGAGTGGTCAGTTAGTATCCTCCTGTGTCCCTCCATCCTCATGAGCAGGAAAGGGGGTGTGTAGGTAGGTGGGAATCTGAAACGCTTGGCTAAAACACAAGGATGAAGAGGATGTTCTGATAGGGAAGAAGAGAATCTTCTAACTATGCAGAAAAGCAGAGACGAGCAACCTGATCACATGCAGCAGTCTCTCCTTATCTGTGGGGGGTGCACCCCACCACTCCCGGTGGGTGCTTGAAAACAGGGACAGTACCACACCCTATATTAACTCTATTTTTTCCTATACATACATACCTTTGATAAAGTTTATCAATTAGGCACAGTAAGAGATTAACAACTAATACTAAAATAGAACTATAGCAATGTACATAATAAATGTTATATGAATGTGGTCTCTCTCAAAATATCTTGTTATACTGTACTCAACCCTCTTGGGATGATGGGAGATGATAAAATATCTACATGATAAGAAGGGAAGAGAGTAATGGCATTGTGACGTAGTGTTAGGCTACTAACACTAATCATCAGATGAAGGATCATCTGCTTCCAGACCAGACTACTGGTTACTGAAGCTGCAGAAAGGGAAAGAGGGATGACTGTAGCCTTGAGAGAGAGGAGATGTTTAGAGAGAGAGAACTCTATGTATTCTTTCATATTCATTTTTTCATCCAACATATAATGACTGAGTGCCTCCTATAGCAGGTGTCCAGAATACACTAGATGCTGGAGGCAGGAAGATGCCTCTGCTCTCTAGGAATGCTACATTCTCTTGAAGCTTGGCTTTATAGAAGCTCAAAGTGACTTAAATATGTTTAAGTCTCTGAAAATTGGGATCTAAGGAAATTGGTAAATTATGAATTGAGCGGTAAATGATACAAGGTGTCTTCAACTTTATCAGTATGAGATCTTTGTCCTGCTAAGTTGACTTTTCTCTCCAAGGAAGCCTCTGTAAACCTCACACCATGACCCCGATCAGAACTACCACTCCCGAGCCACCTGGGCTCCCCCTGAATGGGGGCAACACTTGATCTCAGTGGCTGAGGTCAGGGCTGCTGGGTCCCAGCGCTCTCCTCTTACTTCAGAGACTATGTCAGCACATTGTGATGCAGGAGCAATAGCACAATGCCCAGAGCAGCCCGGCCTCCTGCACTTCTTTCACTAAGTGGTTAGCTGCCTGCCCAATAGACATAAACACCTTCTGCCAAAGAAATGTGAAAAGTGTTGGAAACCTGCTGTTTGGAGACTATTCTCCTGAGTAGACATCCAGGAGATCTCCAGAGATCTATTTCAGCCTCACATCTATGTAAGTGACTGTGTGATTACTGCGATTTTGGGTGTGAACCTGAGGAAGAAGGAAATGGACAACAGTTGAATTAATTCTAATAATTCAAGGGCAAAAATGTTTATTTCCTTTCCATCTTTCTCTTTTCCTCTTAGTTTCGTGTCTTACACTGCAACCAGAACAAGCAGAAAAGCTCAGAGACTTATATCTATTTGGTTACTTCATTTTTCTTAAAAATGATTTCATTGAGAATTCGAGTTAAAATGAAAACAGATTTTCTAATTGTTTTTAAGTTTTGGTTTTCCAAGCCATTAGCCCAATTTTCTCTCATGAGTGAGAATTGAATGAACTTATAGAAAGACAGTCATTTTTATTCATTCAAATGGGAGAGAAGATCCAGAATATAGAGCTTTTCTGTTCAAAGCTGAAAGGTTAGCGGGGTGGGGACCCATGGAGAAAGAGGGGTCCAAAACAGCCAAACTTTCTCAAAAAGTTAGCACTCAAAAGTGCAACCAGAACTGCCACATCAAATTGTGATGGACCAATCCTAAAAATATCTTATTGGTGTGTTAAAAATCTTAGGAAAAACTAAGGAAATGTCATGTTTCATAGTGCTATGCAGAACCAACTTCAAAGCACAAGTACCACAGAGAACAGTTTTAACAAGAAATGGGTAAATACCGCCATTTAAGACCTTTTATGTAATTACGGGCAAGAAATAACACACAGAAGAAAAAGACAAGAGGATGTAGGTGGTCAGAATTCTCTCAATATTGCTGTACATTTGAAAAAAACTTGATAATAAAAAATCGGTGGGGAAAAAGCCAAATGGGAATGGTAAATAGCAAATAATTATAGACAACATTTCAGGGGTGTTTATAGACACCCCTCCAAATTAAGCAGTCAGAAAAGTCCCTGAAAACATTTCCATGTTGGCTCCTAGACTCCTTCTCCCTCCCTATCCCAGTTTCCATTAAACTCAAGCTGTCACCGGTTCAAAAAATTCCCAGTGACTACATTCAGTCCTGGGAAAATCAAGACATCCCACCACCGCCCACTGGTGGATATACTTCATATCCACACTATTCTTAGCCCTAATGGGGCCTTCGTGATCTTGAAACATTACTCAGATAGGGAAGTCTGGTGATGTCATGGAAAGTCTGGAGCAAAGCTGAAGAAGTTCCACCCCTGAAGTGTAGACAGCTCATTGCTTCTCTCTGCTCGGTTTCCCCATTAAATTACAGGCATTCGTTTCTGGCCTGTAATCAGATTTAATATGGGCTCTCTCTACCTTTTCTTTTACTGAAAGTATCTAACAGTGCTTTTTCGAATGACAATAATAGTGTAATTCTGCAGAAAAAATGCAAACTTTTTTTAACTATCTGCTGAATTAATCTCCATTCAGTTAAAGCTAAAAAAGAGAGAAGAGGATGGGAGGGGTGTTCTAATTAAAGGAAATAACAAAGAATGTAAAGAATCTGCCAGTGACCTAGTAAGCTGGGATCCATCTCAAAAAGAATTAGATTCTTCTGTGCTCTGTAACACAGTTAAAAACCTTATACATGCTCACTGGTACATTGCTGGCTTAATTAGAAGTATAAAACATTTAATGAGCCCTAGTGAAAGGCAAAAATTATTAGGAAAATATAAACTGTGATTGTGAAAACGAATACACAATTCTGGTAGAACAAGTTATAACAAAAGATTCTGTGTATCTGAAATGAAGCTAAGTTCCCAGGATGGCCTATAGCAACCCTGCTTTGTTCCTCTGTTCTAATTCATATACTCACTCAAACCATATTTATTGTAATTCCATAACATATACCTTCATTGGCCCTTTAATGTGATTAATCTATTTTAATGTCAAAATTTACTTTTTCATTTATGAGTTTCATATTGCATTACTTTTCATTTGTGAGTTTTATATATATATATATATATATATATATATATATATATATATATTTGTAATATTAATAAAGCAAGATAGTATGGAAATTTCACAATTTGCATAGACAGGCCTTGCTTTATCTTTAAAATATAGTTATGTAGAGTCTACAAATGTGCTTATTAATGTGAATACCATTGTGGCAAATTTCACATGCAACATTTCTCTGCAGACTTATCATAATGACTATGGTCATATCATTCTCTATCCAGCAGTGGTCATGCAAAAGAAACAAATGGACTAATACATTGTCTACATTTATCCTTATTAAAAAGGTATCCATGGAAATGGTGAAAATGTTCTAAGTTAGATTATGGTAGTGGTTGCACAACTCTGTAAATAACCTAAAAATCATTCAATTATAGCCTTATTCTTTGTTGTTGTTGTTGTTGTTGTTGTTGTTAAAGATTTCAGTTATTTATTTGAGAGAGAGCACAAAGGGAGAGGAAGAGGTAGAAGTAGACTCCCCACAGAGAGCCCAAGGCAGGGTTCAGTCCCAGGATAATGGGATCATGACCTGACCAGACGCTTAACCCACTGAGCCATCCAAGCACACCCAATTATAGCCTTTAAATGAGTGAGGTTGATGATATATAAATTATATCTCCCTAAAGTTATATTAAGAACTGATCCATAGATTAGTTTTTTTTTAAGATTTTATTTTTATTTATTTGACAGAAATCACAAGTAGGCAGAGAAGCAGGGGGAGAGAGAAGGGGAAGGCAGGCTCACTGCTGAGCAGAGAGCCCTATGCGGGGCCGATCCCAGGACCCTGAAATCATGACCTTGAGCTGAAGGCAGAGGCTTTAACCCACTGAGCCACCCAGGCGCCCCACAGATTAAATTTTTAAGAAAACAAAACTATCTGTAAAAGTCCAGACACACAAATTGGAATTCTTTTTGGATCATCAAAATTAATAACAAAAATTTCTCAGTAGGGGTTGCTGATTGGATAGGAGGACTGGGGAGCTATGAGCTGTCAGGCTGCTCTTCTATGGTCTTCCCACAGGAAAGCCCAGCAGAGCACGGGGAACTTGTCAGTTGAGGACCATGAATTACTTACTGCTTTGTAAGAGAAAATCATTTCTCAAGCATCAGTTTAGCCACTGGGCACAATTAATTTTGGTACCTCTTACAAGAGATTGTGATGTCCCAAATAAATTCACACCATGATTGGTAATTTCTGCTTTTAAAAATATTTAAAGTTGTAGGAAAACACTAATTATATATAACATCCAAGATATAGATAATATACAATGCTGTATATTTTATGTATTATATAAATATAATATATATAAATTTATAAAACTAGAAAGACACATATATACCAAAACTTCAATACTATCTCCAGATACTGAGAGCAAACCTAGTAAACAGTTAATTAAACAGTTGATAATTTTGCTTTTGGACTTTTGAAAAAATGTGTAGTGGTGTGTGTGTTTAGCCAAAGTCAGTTTCAAAGCACAATTCATATGTCTCAAGAACAGTGCACTCTCAGGATATTACCAGACTAATTGGAGAGGTGGGAGCAGGGTTTGTGGTGTACAGATCAGTAATCTCAAATGACAGTTACAATAAAAATAAAACTAGTTAAAATTCAGCACGCACTTACCATCTCTACACGGAATTCAAAAGTGTCAAAATAATTCCAGAACAAATGTTTAGAAACAAAGAACCACCACACCAGTGAAGACAAAAGATTCGGTTACATGTTTAGCTCCTTAGCTGACCTCCCCTTTGTTCTGGAGTTCCAAAGGGATGAGAAGGGCAAGGCCTGATAAGGCTGCAAATCCACTGAAGCTTTTTCCTGTTCCTTCTCTGTGACCCTAAACCCACAGTAAAACTTCCTCCCTCAGGAGGTCATCCCTGATTGCTCTCTGGAGAGGCTGTTCTCACATGGAAGGGGTCCTGGGGACCACATAAGGACTGTTCTGGGAAGGGGCATTCCCTAGTCCTGGTGTCCTTGGAACATCCACAGAGTAGCAAGAATTTGTGAACACCAGGCATACTGCATGTGGTCACTTTCTTAGAGTGATTTTTGTTTTTTTTAATATACACTATCACTCACTTCTGAATGAACAAGAGTTGACTACTGCATTTCCTCAAATCCAAGACCCATCAATTAATACACCCATTATGTTATGGGCCACTGAGAAGGACAAAAATGCTGCCAGTTACATAACTAAATGTTTTCTTATTACTTAGACGTTTTCCCCACAATCTCTCATACTCCACTCTATCATCCTCTGTGCATTTCAGTGCTCCACTCCAGTCTCTGGGACCTTATTCCAAGCCTCTGACATGCCTTCTGCAAGCTTTCTACTGGAGCTTTCTTAACCACACCAGAAGGTGACAACAAAAGTTTTTCAGGTAACTATTAGAAACACATTTTATTTTTATTTAAGTATGAATTAACATATAGTGTTCTATTAGTTTCAGGTGTACAATAGAATGATTCAACAATTCTATACATTCCTCAATGCTCATTAAGATAAATATACTCCTAACTGCCTTTATCTATTCCACCCATCCCCCACACCCACCTCTCCTCTGGAGACCACCAGTTTGTTCTCCATATTTAAGAGTCTGCTTCTTTGTTTTGTTTCGTTTCTTTACTTTTACATATGAGTATATGGTATTTGTCTTTCCCTGAGTGATTTATTTCACTTAGCATTTTACTCTCTAGGTCCATCTATGTTGTTGCAAATGGCAAGATCTCATTTCTTTTTATGGCTGGATAATATTCCATTTTATATATCTAGATATCACATCTTTTCTTTTAAAGATTTATTTATTTATTTTAGAGAGAGAGCATGCACACTCAAGTGGGGGAAAGGGCAGAGGGAGAGGGAGAAAGACTCCCCGCTGAGTGTGGTGCCTCAGCTCATGGGGCTCAATCCTACAACTTGGGATTGTGACCTGAGCTGACATCAAGAGCCAGCCACTTAAATGATTGAGCCACACAGTAGCCCATATATACAACTTTATTCATTCATCTATCAATGGGCACTTGGATTTCTCCCACATCTTGGCTTTTATAAATAATGCTGCAATAAATGTAGGGGTGCATATATCCTTTTGAATTTTGAATTTTGAATTCAAATTTTGAATTTGAATAAATCTTTTGAATTGAATTTTGAATTTGTGTTTTCTTTGGGTAAATAGTAGCAGAATTACTGGATCATATGGTAATTCTATTTTTAATTTTTTTTTAAGATTTTATTTAGTTATTTGAGATAGAGACACTGAGAGAGAGCATGAGAGGGGAGAAGATCAGAGGGAAAGCAGATTCCCCGTGGAGCTGGGAGCCTGATGCGGGACTCGATCCAGGGACTCCAGGATCATGACCTGAGCCAAAGGCAGTTGCTCAACCAACTGAGCCACCCAGGCGCCCCCTATTTTTAATTTTTTGACAAATCTCCATACTGTTTTGCATAGTGCCTTCACCAATTTGCCTTCCTGCCAACAGTGCATGTGGGTTCCTTTTTCTCCACGTTCTCACCAACATTTTTTATTTCTTGTCTTTGATTTTAACCATTCTGATAGGTGTACAGTGATCTCTCCTTGTAGTTTTAATTTGTGTTTCCCTGATGACTAGTAATGTTGGGCATATTTTCATGTGTTTGTTGGCCATGTGAATGTCTTCATTGGAAAAATGTATATTCAGGTCCTTTGACCTTTTTAAATTCAATTATTTGGAGGGTTTTGATGTTGAATTGTATAATGTTGAATTGTATAAGTTCTTTATTTATCTTAGATATTAACCTCTTCCCAGATATACCATTTGCAAATAATTTCTCACATTCGGTAGATTGCCTTGTTCTCCTATTGGTTTTCTTTGCTGTGCAAAGCTTTTTATTTTGGTGTAGTTCTGACAGTTTAATTTTGTGTCTGTTTCCCTTGCCAGAGGAGACTTATCTAGAAAAAATATTTCTACAGCTGATGTCAAAGAAATTACTGCTTATTTTTAAAGTAAGTTTGTAGTTCCAAGTCTCATATTTAGGTCTTTAATCTATTTTGAGTTTATTTTTGTGTATGGAGGAAGAATGTGGTCCAGTTTCATTCTTTTGCATGTAGCTGTCCAGTTTTCCCCACACCCTTTGTTGAAGAGACTATCTTTTTCCCATCGCATATTGTAGATTAACTGACCATAAAAGTGTGGGGATCAATTCTGTCCCATTGATCTATGTGGCTAGTTTTGTGCCGTACTGTTTTGATTATTACAGCTTTGTAGTGTATCTTGACATCTGGGGTGTGATGCCTCCAGCTTTGTCCTTTTTCAAGATTGCTTTGGCTATTTGGGGTCTTTTGTGGTTCCATACAAATTTTAGTATTATTTATTCTAGTTCTGTGAAAAAACATTGTTGGTATTTTGATAGGGATTGCATTGAGCGTCTGTAGATTGCTTTGGACAGTGTGGACAATTTAACAATATTCGTTCTTCCAATCCATGAGCATGGAATATCTTTCCATTTGTTTGTGTCCTCTTTGCTTCATCACCAGTGTTTTATAGTCTTCAGAGTACAAATCTCTCACTGCCTTGGTTAAGTTTATTCCTAGATATCGTATTCTTTTTAGTGCAATTTGCCTTACAAATTGTTTGTTTTCTTAATTTCTTTCTACTACTTCGTTAGTAGTGTACTGAAATACAACAGATTTCTGCATATTATTTTTGTATCCTACAACTTTACTAAATTCATTGATCAGTTCTAGTAGTTTTTTGGTGGAGTCTTTAGAGCTTTCTATTTATAGTATCATGTCATCAGCAAATAGTGAAAGTTTCACTTCTTCTTTACTAATTTGAGTGCCTTTTATTTCTTTTTCTTGTCTGATTGGCATGGGTAGGGCTTCAGTACTATGTTGAACAAAAGTGGTAAGTGGTAACAAAAGTGGTAACATCCTTGTCTTGTTCCTAATCTTAGAGGAAAATCTTTTAGTTTTTTTCACCATCAAGGATGATATTAGCTATGGGTTTTGCATACATGGACTTTATTATGTTGAAGTATATTCCCTCTAAATTTACTTTGTTGAGGATTTTTATCATGAATGGATATTGTACTTTATCAAATGCTTTTTCTGCTTCTTTTGAAATAATCATATTGTTTTTATCCCTTCTGTTATCAATGTGATATATCACATTGATTGTTTTGCTAATATTGAACCACTCTTACATTCCAGGAATAAATCCCACTTAATCATGATGAATGGTGAGTAATTTTAATGTGTTATTATATTTGGTTTGCTAATATTTTATTGAGGATTTTTGTATCCATGTTCATCAAGGACATTGTAGCTTTATTCTTTTTATAGTGTTTTGGTTTGGGTATCAGGATGATGTCAGCCTCATAAAATGAATTTGGAAGTTTTCCTTCCTCTTCCTTTTTTTTTAAATGTTTGAGAAGAACAGGTATTAACTCTCCTTTAAATGTTTGGTAGAACTTACCCGTAAAGCCATCTAGTCCTAGACTTTTGTTTGTTGGGAGTTTTTTGATTACTGATTCAACGTTATTGCTAGTAATTGGTCTGTTCAAATTCTCTATTTCTCCTGATTCAGTTCTGGAAGATGATATGTTTCTAGGAACTTAACTGTGTCTTCTATGTTTTCCAATTTTTTGGCATATAATTTTTCATAATCTCTTACAATCATTCATATTTCTGTGGTATCCATTGTTCTTTTTCCTCCATTTCTGACTTTATTTTTTTTTTAAAGATTTTATTTATTTATTTGACAGAGAGAGAGAGAGACAGTCAGAGAGGGAATACAAGCAGGGGGAGTGGGAGAGGGAGAAGAGAAGCAGGCTTTCCCATATGAAAGCAGATGCTTAATGACTGAGCCACCCAGGTGCCCTGATTTTATTTATTTAAGTCTTCTCCTCTTTTTTGATGAATCTAGCTAAAGTTTTATCAGTTTTGTTGATAAGAACTAGCTCCCAGCTTCATTGATCTGTTCTATGGTTTTTAGTCTCTATTTCATTTATTTCTGCTCTGATCTTTATTAGTTCCTTCCTTCTACTGGATTTGAGCTTTGTTTGTTTAGGTTGTTGTTGTTTTTTTTTTTTTCCCCAGCTCCTGTAAGTTTAAGGTTAGGTTGTTTATTGCAGATTTTTCTTGCTTCTTGAGGTAGACCTTTATTTCTATAATCTTCCCTCTTAGATAAGCTTTTGCAGCATTTCAAAGATTTTGGGCTGTTGTTTTCATTTTCATTTGTCCCCGTGTGCTTCTTTTACTTAAGGACACATTTTTTTTTTAAGATTTTATTTATTTGAGAAAGAGAGAGAGAATGAGAGAGAGAGAGAGAGCATGAGAGGAGAGAGGTCAGCTGGAGAAGCAGACTCCCTGCCGAGCAGGGAGCCCAACCTGGGACTCAATCCTGGGACTCCGGGATCATGACCTGAGCCAAAGGCAGTCTCTTAACCAACTGAACCACCCAGGCAACCTTAAGGACACATTTTAAATGGCAGTTAAGTGCAACCTGTAGAGTACAATCAATGTACTTAATTTAATAGGAACAACCATGATTGAGTTCGTGCCTGCGCAGCCAAATCACCACCATGCAGTTCCCTCCACCCCTCACCATCAGAGAGTGATCATAAGGAACATTCCATTTCAGAGTTGTTAAGATGAGGAAAATTATGTTTCTTAGAATGAATGACTCAGGAAGTATGAAACTATAAGTGAGCAAGAGGGAACCCAGCCTAGCAAATGCTGAGTAAATTATACTTTTTTTTTGACAGAGGGGCAGGTGTTGGTAGACCAGTATAGACATTCAGGTGCTCACCATGGGATAGCCATGGCTTTCACTGTTTCCTATACATCACTGCTTTGAGTTGGGTCATTTTATCTTCATCTTACAGATGAGGAGATTGAGCTCAGAGATGTTAAGTAATGTGCCCAAGGTCTCAAAAGTAGGTGACAGAGCCCAAATATGAACCTAGATGTGTCTGACCCCAGAGTCCTTTATATTCCCACTATACAGTTTCCATACTGGCCTTATGGCACTTTAGTCCTGATGGTGATTTGGTTGCAGTTCACCTGGCCCAGGTAATCCTGAAGGGATTATTTAAGCCAGAATTTGATGAAGAGGAAAAAGTATTGTCTATAGTGACAGCAAGCACAATACAGAGGACTCTACACAAGGGATAACATAGTGAGTGTAAGCATATGTAAGTATATTCATTCATAAAACTATGAACACCAGCTGGAAAGTTAGTAATAGAGGCTACACTGGCTTTTTACAGGAAGAAAATAATTGGGCTTCTTATGACCCTCCATTTTACAATAGTTATTTGAGTCTGTATTTCTTCCTTTGTCATGTTATCAAATGTCTTCCTTGGCCATAAGGGCCCAGGATTTCACTGTTTGACAGTTTCAGGCCGACCCTAAGCTATGAACTCATGATTGTCTGGCTCCACTCATCAAAACACTATGATTAAAATCATTGACAACAGCTTGGCTCAAATATGGACAGCAGCCCTCTGAGCATTTCACCCACACTGCTTAGGTAGAAAAATTCTTTCTAAGGCACGGACCTCTCAGGTATGAAATAAAATTAAGGATTTGTACTGTTTTTCCTTTGTATGCACTTTATTTTCTATTTTTGTTCCCTTCACAAAAGACTTCATCATGAAAAGGAGGAAGCCCAAACTGAAATGAGTTAAGAACTTTGTCTCCAAGAGAGGACTGTGGCTTGGCCCTGAGTTGAGGTGAGATATGTTGGTGTGTACTGATAAGACCAGATTAAGCTCTACCTTGTCACACCTTCTCCTTCCCTTTCTCCATTCTCTCTCCATTCCATCTTGACTTACTTTTCAAGCTTTCTTTGCCTCTTCCCCTCTTCTGGGAACTCAGTGTACCAAGGATGCTGCTTACAGTGATCAAGTTTTCTAGATCTCCAGAGGAGGCTCATAAACTGATATGAGAGAGTCTGAGCTTTGAAGGACAAAAGTGTAAGAAATCACAGCTGTCCTGGAAAATGAAGGGTGGACAATTGCTGTAATTTTGCTTGTCACCCTGACCCGAAATGCTGCTGAACTTTGTTCTCCTTCTGCCAACATACCTTACTCTCATCAAAAAATATTCTTTTCTAAAGATTTCTTGTTATGTTCCAGGAGATTCCCTATATATTTAGGCCCCAAAGGTCCATCTGATGCTTTGATCACTTGCTATGTCCTCTGGTTCTCTAAGGCACCGTCACTGTCTGTCTACAAAGTGATGATAGAATAGATGCCTTGTGCTATTGCGTAGGTCATGAAGGAGAGAAAACATAGATGACGACAAGGCTTTCTGTGTTTTTTTCCTGTCATGCAATCACTATGAGGACTCTTCCATTGCTGTTGCAAAGCTCTTTTCTTGGAAACCTGAGGTGACTAAAGGCCTTTTCACATGTTAACCCTCAGACCTTGTTTATCTCTTCCATATCTTCTTTTACATCCCCCATCCTCTCCTCCATATCTTTTGCTTCCTCTTTCTTTATATTATTATTTCCATTAATTTCTTTAAAATAATCACAAACAATAGAAATATTGCAAGTACAGTACAAAGAACTTTTTCCCCAAATCTTTTAAGAGTAATTTGCCAATTTGATGCCCTGTGACACCCAAATACTTTAGTTTCTGTTTCCTACAATCAAGGACATTCTCCTACATAGCCAAAATTTAACCATCAAAATGAGAACATGTACATTGCACAATATCATCATTTAACCCTGAAACCCCCATTCAAATTTTACCATTTGTCCCCTTAATAAACTGCACACCTAACAGATCCAGTTCAGAAGCACAGTTGCAGTGAGTTACTACCTCTCTTTAGTCTCCTTTGGTCAAGAACGGTTTTTTAGTCTTTCTTTGACTTTCATTATGTTGGCATTTTTTAAGATCACAGGCCAGTTATTTTGTCAAATATCCCCCAAATTGGATCTGCCTGATAATTTCCTAATGGTTGGATTCAGGTCATGCATCTTTGGGAGGGATATCACAGGAGAATGCTCTGTGCTTCTCACTGCATCTTACAAGGTGATGCACCATTTTGATTTGTCCCATTATTAAAAGTGTTCACTCATCGGTCCACTACGAGGGTGTCTGTGTGACTTCTTCACTATACTTTTTCCTGCTTTGAAATTAGTAAGTATGCTGGTGGAAGGTGCTTTGAATGATGTAAATTCTCTGTTCTTCACCAAACTTTTAATTTATTCCTTTATTTATATCAGTATAGATTCTCATGGTTTCCTATTTTATGTGATCAATTCCCCTGTGTGTAACTAATTACCCTCCTCTTCTACCATCCTCTCTCCTGTTCAGACACTCTCCCCACCCTGCTAGGTTCTGATTTCTTATACTGCACCTCCCATCTCCCTGACAACAGAGGCCTTCTTGCCTCCTTTGGGTTCTGAGCTAAGGCTCCCCACCCTCCCCAGTACAGATTCCTGCCTCTCTTTGTCCTAGCTAATAGATCTAGGACAAAAGTGTTCAGGAATAAAAGAGAATAGGAAGAAAGAGGACACCCTTTGGATTATTTGGTGCTCCCTCCCTTTCCTCCTTTCCATCTGTCCTGACCTGTTCTGACCCCTCTCACTCTTGCCACTTCTCAAGTCCATCTTTCTAAGCACACAAGACAATATTGAACCATGGGCAAAGGCATAATCAGTCAGACTAATCAGACTGTGAAGGTTTGAATCCTAGCTTGGAGACTTGGATAAGTTACTTCCCCTCTAGAAGCCTCAGCTGCTTGGTGTATAAAATGAGCATCTTAAGAGTGCTACTTCATAGTATTTTCAGAATTAAACAAGATAGTTCATGTAAGGTCCGGTGCCTGCCACATATCAAACACTAAATAAATTTCACTCTTATTTCCCATCCCCTATGTGTGAGATGGTGGTGGTGGTGGTAGTTTTATCTCCCTCTCTCTCTTTTCCTGAATGCTCTTTCTTTTTGTCTCATTCTTTTTATAATTAGCTTTACTGAACTATTTTACTTTCTTGCTTTTCCCAATTCTTCTTACTTTCCCTATGTTCATGTATAGCTGTGCTGAAGGGAGGCATTGAGTTGCCGCTAGAAGGTCTGATGGGGAATTCCCATGCCAAGAGTCATTGCTCATAGGATGTCAGGTGGCTGTGGTCTCTGCTTCTTATGGCCCAGGCTGGGACAGCAACAAGATGTGTCCACTGCTTACCCTGTAGCTTGAACAAAAGGGAAAAAAAACCTCTGAGAAAGGACGGAGGTGAAATTATGTATTCGCAGTGGAATACAGGAGCAGCTGCTTGCCAGTTAAGGACCCCTCCTCTAACTGGCATGGGATTTGTGAAGAGGGAAGGAGGAGATCTTTAGAAAAGATGAACAGAATTACATTCTGAGGCCTTGTTCCCTTCTTGGAATTCTGTCATTTCTGGTCAATAAAAGGTGAAATCCAGTGATGCCAGCGCCACTATTTTTTGTTGAAGCAATTTCTGGAGAGAGCCAGAGCAACTGACTATTTACCTCTCAACCAAGAGCTAAGCATCAGTCAAGAGTGAATGGTCAGGAAAACATGTTCTCAGTTTAGTATGGTTTGATACCCTATTTACCAAAAAAAAAAAAAGGAAGGGTGGTAGTACCATTAATTACGAAGACAGAAAATGATGGTTTGCAGGATGTGGCACACATGTTTCACGACCTTCTAAAGAGGCCTTTCTTAATTGCCTTCATTAATTAGGTTGCCAGCCCCACACCCCAGACTGCGTAGGACAGGGATCTTACCAATCATGTTCAGATATATCCCCAATGCTCAATGCAGTGCCTGGCATATCATAGATGTTGATAAAATTTGTTGACTCAATGAGTAAGGGAGGCAAATTTATTATATTAAATTTTCTCTGTATCTGTTCATTGTGTTCCCATTCCCTCGGCTCACTGATGTTTGTATGTAAGCACCATGAAGAAGAACAAGAGGAACCCTACCACAAGGATCAATGAGCAAGATGCCATCTCTGTCCCAACCTCCCAGGATCCAAGAAATCTTCAAAATATGTTGGATGGAGGAGAGTATGCCCCTTTTGTATCTCCTCCCATATTAGAGAGCAATTTTATCCAGGTAAATAATATTTGAGCCCTGAATTAAGTTCCAATAACTTCAGTGATTAATTTTCTCAAAGAAATTGAGAATATTAAGAGGAGAATTATTCTAAATGTGATAAATGCATGAGACAATTAAAGGGAACAATTTTGGGACTTTAACCAACCTAAAATAATTATAATGTTAAAGGAAAATTCATTTCAAATTTTCCCAGCAAACTCTCACCTAGGAATTCTGTTCTAATGCCACCATAATTGTCATTCTATCATAATCTTCCCAAGATGTCATGAAGAGATTACAGTGAATTCAGAACATCCTGACACAGGAAAGCATTCAGATAGCTCCTTTCTTAGATCTAGAAGACATTTTAAAGAATAACATCTATGACACAACTGAGTATTATAATGAATTTTGGCTCTAGTTCTGAAAGTAAAAATTGTCAAATTGTCAGGAAGAAGAGATTTCTTCTCATAGAAATGTACCAACATCATGAATGAAACTGCATTTCAACACATTTGAGAGCATTTTTGCTTTCCCTAGACATTCAACATTAAAATCTTCAGACAAATGGGGAAATGAGTTCACTGTTGTAGGCTGTACCCTTAAACTCCATAGTAAGGCCATGACCAAGACTAATACAAAAACACCCATTCAAGCAGCCCCTCAGCTGATTCTACAGAGGAGAGACAGGGAAGACAATAGACACTTCTTCCATAAACGTGTTCTCTGCCCTGATGACTGGGTTCTAGGGAGACCTCCTCACCCTCCAGAACACCAGAGGCAGGTGTTTAAAGAACACTAATGTTTAAGTAATGCCCAGAACAGATGTGATAAGTAATGATTTGATGATTTTACCTTCTATATGTTTCTTTCCTACTAATAATCTTCTTAATTTTTCACACTTCTTTCCTACCCCCTTTTCAAACAACATTTTGCATGTTCTAACGAACCCTGAGGGAGGGAGGTAGACATGCCCCATATCATAATTGGGTGAGTTATTTCCTTCAACATACACAACCTTTTATGGTTAGTATGTCTTTGGAAGCAAGTTGCCACAGTTGCCCCTGACCCAACTTTAAACAAAAAAGAACAACAGTTATCTCAAAGTAAAAGAGCCACAGAGCATCGGCTCCCTTGCAGGGAGTCCTGGAGGACCCAGGTCCTCTCTTGTGCTCTAGCCAACCCCCAAGTTAGCTCCCCTCAGGACATTACATGCAAACAGCTGCCAGAAAGAGAAGAGGTGCTCTCATCATAGCAATTTTTTGTGAGGACTGAGAAACCTTTCCTGGAGCCACCAGGAGGCCCCCCACTGTGTCTGATTGGCTGGGCCTAGGCCACATGGCCCTGTTAAAAGCAAGCACTGGCAAGGGGATGAAACCACAATGACCAAGGTTCATCAGTATTTAAACCTTGAGCCAGAGCACCATCCTTCAGGGGCAGTACTGGATGGATTCTGGATTCTGTTAATCAGGCATGGTTCTGGGCAGGTCTTTAGTATGGGCTACAACCTCTTTCAGAGGAGATATATATAGATATAGATATAGATATAGATATAGATATAGATATAGATATATTTGTTTTTTAAGTGATTTTTTGTGTTTTTGAGTTAATGTACAACTGAGAAAACCGTCAAGTTTTGCCCCTCTCTGGCTTCCTTCACGTCCCTCTCTGGTTCTTTTCTTCCAACTATCAGAGACTTTACTGGCCAAGATTCTTGGACTTTGGGATTTTTGCATCTGCTGTTCTTCTGCCTGAAAAGCTCTCCTGTCCACCCAGCCAGTTTAACTCCTACCTTGTTCAGGTCTCAGCCAGAGGTCTCTTCCTCAGGGGCGATTTCTCTGACCCTGTGTCTGGGGTGTGCTGGAGTTGGCTGACTAGTAAATGTTCAGATTTGTGAGTCCATCATTAAACACAGATTTTATAAAAATTTTTTAAAGTTTTTATTTATTTATTTGACAGAGAGAGACACAGTGAGAGAGGGAACACAAGCAGGAGGAGTGGGAGAGGGAGAAGCAGGCTCCCTACTGAGCAGGGAGCCCAGTGTGGGGCTCGATCCCAGGACTCTGGAATCATGACCTGAGCCAAAGGCAGACACTTAACTGAGCCAACCAGACACCCCACATATTATTAAAAATTAAATCACATAAGCTTATATACTCAAACCTTATTTTTCCTATTATTTTACTACCTTTTACTGTTTTTATGCTCTTTAGGTTACAGATATAAGAGTTTGACAAAGGTCAATGAAGACTGCTGTGAGAATCAATCGACTACACTGAATTTAAAATAAAGTTTTGTGTATATTATTATTTGTAAATTGTGTGTTACTCATCTTTTATATCATTAAAATATATAATAAACGTGTATATCTTCCAACAGGTATTTGTTACACATTTACCAGCACATCACTACCTGTATCCCCTCTTAAATCAAGTTTCTTGTTATATGCCTCACAGCACCCTGAACTTGTACTTGGTAGTATTTCCTGCAATAATAATTAGTGACACACTTGTTTAATGTTCACCTTCCCTGATAGAATCCCCATGATCCAGGGACTGTGTCTGTCCATTCACTGTGATAATCTCCAGGAATTCGCATCAGTGAGTAATGGAACAAATGCATCATCACGGTTCATTTCTCCTTTATTTCCTGCACTGCTCAGGTAAGCACAGTTGTCAGGGCCATGCACTTTAGCAGAAAACTCCTCTTCCTGTTCTCTACCCTAGGTTAACAGGAGAGGTGAATCCATTTACCTTCATAACCGAGCCAACTGGGTGACTGTAGGCATCTGCTCTTCCAGTGAAACCCGCAAGACCCCCAACGTGATGCTTCTGGCACATCTGACACCTGAAGCTCAGAAAAACACAAAATCCCTGTTTCAAAGTCTCCTGACATCTCCTTCACCACAGAACCTGGTGCTCACCAGGTGAGTTACAAAGGGAAGAGGTTAAGGATCTCTCAGAAAAGATGCTTTACCCCTAAGAAGCTGAAAATAAAAACACCAATGACATTTGCTCCAAGGGAGCATCTCACTTGCATCCTGCTACAAATGGCAAAGAATCATGTCCTTAAAGTCTGGGAAAACAGCTTATGACAAGCTGGCAGTCAAACAGTTAATTTTTAAAAATCAGACCTAAGTAATAGTAACTGAAGAGTCATTAGAAACTGGCTGTCTAGAGCATGCTCTTCCTTCCCCAGCACCCAGCTTCCATCAGAATTCACTCTGGTCTTGTCTCAAGCCACTAATTTGCCATATGACCTAGAGCAATCACTCAACTACTCTCAGCTTTGCAGGATTAACAAAGTGGGAGAACCCCTCACGATAAATAGTTGATACTCTTATTTTTTTTAATTTTTTATTTATTTTAGTTCGTCAGAGTCTTAGGAGTGTAATTTGAGTGAGATAGCCCTCAGCAGCCTGGCTCCATGTACTAAAAAATTCAAAGTTTTGAGGCTCAAAACTAAAAGCCAGATGCAGGAACATGGTGGCCACAAGAAGGTTCTGCCCAACCCTATGCCTGTCCCAGCCCAGGCCTGTCTGGAAGACGAGCCTGCTGTCCTTCATCTCTCTCTGCAAACTGCTACACAACACAAAAGGAAAGGCCTTTTGGTAGGTCTCCAGTCAGGCTCCCAGATGACCTTTGTGATTCTTTTCAGGTTCCTCCCTCTGCAGTTTGTGACCCTTTCTGTGCACGATGCTGAGAACATGCGCCTCAAAGTAAAGCTGGTGAGTGGTCGAGCCTACTACCTACAGCTCTGTGCCCCTGCGTGTAAACAAGACACCCTCTTTTGTCAGTGGGTGGAACTCATATCCATCTTGAATGAGGAAAAAGCCAAAGTTTCCAAATTGTCGGAAGTCTCAAGCCTGTCAGAAATCACGAATAGCACCGACATCACGGGCTCAGGGGACATCATGGATATTGCAGCTTCCACAACCCTACAGAGCCCAACCTTGTGCTTGTGTTCAGAACCTGTACATGCCGTAGAAAGCACTGATTTCTCAGATTTCACCGATGTCACCGACGTCACTGATGTCACTGACGTCACAGATGTTCCAGAAAATGAGGTCACAGAGGCCCCAGATATAAATATTGTCACAGAAGTCACAGAAATCACAGACCTCTGTGACGTCCCAAACTGCTCGGAGGTCACAGTGGTGTTTGAAAATGATGACATACTAAGGGCCAAGCAAGAGGAAAAGGTAAGGGACATGGCAGATGTTCATTCCTTAATAATTAAGAATAAGAGTAATAACCAACATCACTCTTTTTGGTTAACTCCTGAATACTGCTTATCAAAATACTATGGAATGTGCTCTGCATAACCTAATTTTAAATAATGGGATATTAGCCTTAAACACTGGTATAAAGGAGTTACAGGAGGTATCCTGAAAGAGGCAGGGACCATCCTTACCATCACATTTAACCCAGTATCAGAAGGCTATGGTGAGGGGCGCCTGGGTGGCTCAGTGGGTTAAGCTTCTGCCTTCGGCTCTGGTCATGATCTCAGGGTCCTGGGATCAAGACCCGCAACAGGCTCTCTTCTTGGCAGGAAGCCTGTTTCCCCCTCTCCCTCTGCCTGCCTCTCTGCCTACTTGTGATCTCTGTCTGTCAAAAAAATAAATAAAATCTTAAAAAAAAAAAAGAAAGAAAGAAAGCTGTGGGGAAATGGAAGGAGCTTCGGGACCAGGGTCAGAAGACCCGGGTTGGATTCTTGCCCTGCTGCATAACTGTTTGGCCAAACCACTGGAGCTGTTTGAGCTGCATGAGTTTCCTCATCTCCAAAACAAGGATATTAATGTCACATAAGGGCTATTTTAAGGTTCAAATGTGTATAAAAGTATGCACTACATTGAAGGATGGGGTGAAATTTCAATCGATAAAAGTGAGGATGGAAATAGAAAAATAAAGTGCCAAAAGAAGTGAGTGGGTTTAGAAAAGGCTAGAAAGTGGAAAAACACAGCGGTATCCAAGAATGGTAGTTCAGTTCAGCTGGAGCATAATTTATGTGGAAAATATTAGGTTATAGGATTGGAAAGTTGTTTGCAAACCTTGAATGCCAAATCAAGAGGTATGGACATTGCTCTCTGGGAAAACTTGAACCACAAAAAACCCTCTGTGTGAGGGAGTGAAGGAACTGTGCTTTTAGAAAGATTACTCTGATGATAGCATGGATTGTAGATAAAGGCATAAGTTTGAGGACCTAATGCTGGAAATCCTCCATGGGGCCCATCATAGAAAAATCACAAAGGGCAAGGATAGACATTTTACAGAAGAAGAAAACTGCCAATAAATACACTGGAGAAAGTTCAACCTCACCAGTAACCAAAGGATTGCAAACTTAGAAAAAAAGCCTATAAAACTGTTAATTGAAAGAATAAAAATAGTCAGTGTTAGTAAAGGTGTGGTCAACTTGGAAGTCACATAGATTCATGGCAGAGATAAGAATTGGCCCAAACTTTCTTGAAATCATTATGAATCAAGAGCCTAGGGGCACCTGGGTGGCTCAATGGGTTAAAGCCTCTGCTTTCAGGTCAGGTCATGATCCCAGAGTCCTGGGATCGAGCCCCGCACTGGGGTCTCTGCTTGGCGGGGGGCCTGCTTCCTCCTCTCTCTCTGCCTGCCTCTCTACCTACTTATGATCTCTGTCTGAAATAAATAAATAAAATCTTTAAAAAATCTTTAAAAAAAATAGCCTAAAAAAGTTTATTCCCTTTGCCTCAGTGATTCCATTTCATTCCAATCTTCCTAGAAGATTCCTTAAGGAATTAATCAGAATGAAGAATGAGGATTTAGCTATAAAGATGTTAATAATACTGTATATCATGTTTGTCAAAATGAAATAATGAAAATTTGGAAGGAACCTAAACACCCACCACAAGGGAGTCAATAAATTGATATAAATCCATGAAGGGCAGGTGCTGTATTAATCTTTTTCAGGAGCGATCAAAGTATCTGGCAAGATCATAGACAGTCAGAACATATTTGTTAAGTGAAAGACTACTCTGTAGTTATTAAAATTGTTGGGAAAATTTTTCTTTACCTGGAGAAATTTTCATGATTGGAAAAAGTTGAGTGAAAAATTAAATATGATCCCTATTACATAAAAGTACATGTATGAGCTCATAAGCAATGTGGGGGGGGGAGAAGTCATATTATTAACAGCAGCTTATTTCCAGATCGTGGGATTATAGGCAATTAATGTTTTTCCTCTTTATGCTTTTCTGTTTCCTACAATAAAATAACTTTAAATCCAAAAAAATTCAAGCAGTTTTACACACAATTTGTAATGACATGAAGAAAATGCTTTTAATAAATCAAGTGAACAATGTAGGATATAGAACTGAAATGTTATCACAAAGCAGACCCATACAAAATAAAAGGACAAAAACCTGAATGAAATGTGCCATAAGTGTAGTTATTTCTGGCCAGTGACCCCAAGAAATAATTTTCTCCCTTCTACTTTATATCTTAGAGGATCTTCTAAATGGTCTATAATAAATGTGTAAATATGTGGTACTTTCATTGATGGAAAAAAAGTTTTTCCTTAAGGAAGAAGAGTACTGTATTATTTTCCAGGGAAGTTAATAGAGGTGGTAAATGAGGCAGTGGCCATGGGAGGAATGAGGAGGTGGGAGGAGATAGTAGAGAGACATAGTGTTTAGGACCCATTGCTCAGAGGCCTAAGACAGATTCTGAGGAAGGCAGTGAGTGGCTAGAGAGGTGGTCCATTAATAGAACCCAGGAAACTAGGAGAACAGGAGAGATTTTACAGTATTAGTTTTAGGTGTGGGTTCTAACTCTTTTGAAAAATGAACTCTTTTGCCTCAAAAGACATGACTCATGTCACCTATTAGATACTCTTTTTTAAAAAAAAAAAAGATTTATTATTTATTTGAAAGAGAGAGAGAGCATGCATAAGCAGGGGGAGGGGCAGAGAGTGAGGGGGAGAGAGGGAGAGAAGCAGACTCCCAGCCGAGTGCGGATCCTGACACGGGGCTTGATCCCAAGGCTCTGAGATCCTGACCTGAGCTGAAATCAGGAGTTGGACACTTAACTGACTGAACCACCCAAGTGTCCCCTCACCTATTTGGTACTCTTAAATTAAGAGCAACATCAGATTGGGGAGTAGGTGGCAAGGTATTTCTAGACAACCTTCTTTGCCCCAACAATTCAGAAAAAGGAAATGCTGTAATTAAGTACTAATTTTCTGGGGTAAGCTGACAGGGTTGTACCCAAACACATGAGCTTCTGAATTTGCAGTGTCAAGTCCCAGACTATCAGCTTCCACACAACACCAAGCCTCATTTCCTCAACCTTGCACTTGTGAACTTGAGGGCACCCAGTAGATACAGAATGAAATGATTGCTGTATTAGGTATTTTTGCTCCATAAATTATCTATTTTTCTGCAATGCTCTCCTGTTACTTAATTCGCTGCTATTTACTTTCAAAGGAAAAAATGGGAAACACTCTGAAGCCTGGGTGTCTACGAGATACAAAAATTAAGAACGAGTTCAAAGAATCCTCAAAACATGTCACCATCTCAAATGTAACGCTGACTTTCCAAGGTGAACGATGTTTTCATACTACCTTGACTCAAGAAGAAAGTGACACAAGTTCATCCAAAGAGCTGAGTGCCAGATCCTCTGAAATAAGGACAACTGAATTTAAAAGCCTAGCTCTCAAGGCTGAAGAATCCAGGTATGTGAGGTGGGGAAATGCCAGGGGAGCTAAGACGTGAGGTAACATGAGTAAGTGTATGCTTTAACGTCTCTGCCGCTCTGGCATTTGTTGCTGAAGATTCTCAGCTATAGCTATGATGTAATTGAATGATGACCCAGTCATCTCTTCATTCTCCACATCTGGTTTAACCTTGTCTAATTTTTATCCTCCTGTCAACTTCTCATACCCTTCAGTTCACATTCTAGGCTCTCTGGTGTCAACTGCATGTGTTGAAGAATATAGGATAGAAGCAGAGTGTCCACGTTTTGGAGTAAAGGCACTCGTCTCCCAGAGTGACTATGGGCACTCCTGCTTTTACTTTATACTTCTCTCCATGTTCTTCTCTACATATTTCTTATGCTTTTCTACATTTCCAACAAATAACTTCATCATCAAAACAATACTTTCATAATTTTATTTCTTTTTAAATATTTATTTATTTAATATTTTAAATAGAGAGTGCAGGTGGGGGAGGGGTAGAAGGATAGGGGGAGAGAGAGAGAGACTCCTGGAGCAGAACCCCCCCACACCCCACCTCCTCACACACACCCCCACCCCTAGCTGAGCGCAGAGCCTGACTCAGGCCTCCATCTCACAACCCTGAGATCATGACTGGAGCTGAAATCAAGCATTGGGTGCCCAACCGACTGAGCCACCCAGGTGCCCCTGTTTTCATCATTTTAATACTCAAGTGCAAGCTGAATATGTGAGAGAACTGTTGTATTATAAAGATAAAAGTTAATCCAGTCATTTCAAAGTAACACTTAAAAAGAAACCACAGAAACACCTAGAGATTTAAATGTTTACTAGAGCAAGAATGAAATAGGGAATGTAATGAATTATGTCTAAAATCATTTTAAGTATAAAAAACAAACAGGAGAAAACAAATTAAAAAAAGAAAGAAATGAGAAAGATTAAAAGTAGTTTGAAGTGCTACAGAGTTTGGTTGATTCTTCAAAAAGAATGACAAAACAGGCAAACCACTGGACAACTTTTTTTAAAAAATCAAAAAATTAGGGACACCTGGGTGGCTCATTAAGTGTCTGCCTTCAGCTCAGGTCATGATCCCAGGGTCCTGGGATTGAGCCCCACATGGGACTTCCTGCTCAGCGGGGGAGTCTGCTTCTCCCTCTCCTCGCTGCTCAGGCTTTCTCTCGCTCTGTTTCTCCCTCTCCCAAATAAGAAAATAGAATCCTCAAATAAATAAATAAATAAATAATAAAATTAGAAATTTAAAAGGTCACCATCAATGAGAACAATAGTAAAATGTTACTGAGAAGGATTATATTCAACTTTTCTTCAATAACTTTGAAACCCTAAGTTAAATAAATGACTTTAACAAAAAGGCAAGGAGGCAAACTGGCACTTGAGAACATAGAAAAAATTTATCCAAGAGCTCCCATTAAAGAAAAAAAACACAGCTGTGACTTTTACTGGACAGTGTTTTAGACACTCTAAGAATTATCTCTATTTAATGTAAAGTTTTCTTTTAAATATAGAAAAATTATATTCTCCTAATTTTTTGAAGCAAATAATTTGTCTGGATTATAAAGCTGGAAAGACAACACAAGAAAGAAAAGTCTCGATTAATCCTCTTTAAGACAATATATGGTAAATTCATAGAATCTTAGCATGCAAAACGTAGTGAGCTTAATATAAAATTAAGGAAATATAATTTCCTTAATATAAAATTAAGGAAACTGCAGTATAAGTCATTATTCGAAAGAAAAGCAGAAAAAAATCATAGATACTTAATTACATTTGAGAGACTTTGATATTCTTTTTTTTTTTAAATACTTTATTTATTTATTTGAGAGAGAGACAGTGAGAGAGAGTATGAGCGAGGAGAAGGTCAGAGAGAGAAGCAGACTCCCCGTGGAGCTGGGAGCCCGATTCGGGACTCGATCCCGAGACTCCAGGATCATGACCTGAGCTGAAAGCAGTCGCTTAACCAACAGAGCCACCCAGGCGCCCGAGAGACTTTGATATTCTTGATAAAGATCCACAAAATGCAGAAAAGTTCTCCTTCAGCACAGTGAAAAATATTTATTCCAAACCGGAGCCAAAATTGTTTTTAATGAAGAAATTCTAGAAGTGTGCTACTTAAAACTTAGAGCAAATTAAGGATGTTCTTATTAACATTTCTATGTGATATAATATAAGGGAGTCTAGCAGTTGCAATAGAACAAAGAAATATGACGGATAAATATGAGATTTTTTTAAAAAAATCACTCTTTGCACGTGGAAATCCGTATTTAGAAAATTTGAGAATCATCAAATATATTGGTTTATAAATAGTTTTAGGAAGGTCACAGATTATAAGAAAACACAAAATATTTTTCATTTCATGATTTTTATTAACAAACAAAAAATGCACTGAAAAAGAATGTGTTTTTCAAAAGCAGCAATAAAATTCAGATATCTAGTAAGAGTGATAAGAGATCTGTATATATGGAATTATAAAACTCTAATGGCAGAAGCACAAGATGACCTCAATAAGGAAAATAAAGCTCTCTATCTGGGCAGCTATATTTAAGACAACAGAGATGACAAGGCCTAAATTAATTTATAAATTTAATACAGTACCAATTATCTAAATAGCATATCCCAGAGAAATTATACAATTATAGAAAGTATGTGGAAAAAATAGAGGTAAGAATCTCAAGGAAACCACCGGGGCTGGAAAATGTCTAGAGGTTGTATAAAACCTTAAGCCATATTATAATTAAATGGCCATCAGAAACACCAGTGAAAAGTTTAGGATATAGAAATTATGATAGTAAAACAGATTCAAACTGATAGAGGTCTGAAAGAAACATGAAAAAAAGCAAAACTCTAGAATATGTTGGTTAAAGATCTATGCTGTACTACAAAAAATAATTTCAGATGGGTAAAGAGTCAGATATTTTAAAACTAAAATAAACTAGAAGAAAATGGAATGGTTGAATTGCTTCAGTTGCATAAGAAAGATCACTTCTTCTTTGAAGAAACAAAAGAAATTTTCCAGGGGCACCTGGGTGGCTCAGTGGGTTAAAGCCTCTGCCTTCGGCCCAGGTCATGATCCCAGGGTCCTGGGATGGAGCCTCACATCGGGCTCTCTGCTCAGTGGGGAGCCTGCTTCCCTTCCTCTCTCTCTGCCTGCCTCTCTGCCTACTTGTGATCTCTCTGTCAAATAAATAAATAAAATCTTTAAAAAATTTTTTTTTGATAGCAAAGTTTGATCCGTTCATTCAATATTTACTGAGCACTTTGTATGTGTTAGGCACTAGGGGTACAGCTGTGAAAATAAGTTAGAGGCTGTTTCATTCTAGTGAAGAATATAGATCATACACAAACAAAATACATTATGCCAGCTGGAATGTACTGTGGTAAAAACAAAAATGAGTTACAGAATAGAAACAGGGATTCGAGAAGGAGGAAGGATATCTTTCAGTGGTCAGGGACAGCTCCTCTGAGGAAGGGCAGAGATCTGAAAGAAGGGTGGAGCTCTTGGGGAACAGAGTTCTAGGCCAATTGATTATCTAACAATTATAAATATCTATCTCCCAAAAATCATTTTAAGTAAAGAAATTTTAAGTAAAGAAATACCAGTTCTAGGCCAATTGATTATCTAACAATTATAAATATCTATCTCCCAAAAATCATTTTAAGTAAAGAAATACATAACAGTGGAACAGGGAAAGAATAACTAGATGATCTATAATAGTTTTACCTCCCATATCTAGATATAGCTGATGGGAATTTGTAAAGGATCCAATTAGCAAATGGGTTAAAGTTATGAGTAGAAAATTTACTCCAGAAGACAAACACTTAACAAGGAATCAATCTCACTAATAATTAAAGAAATACAAGTTAAGCAATTACCAGTTGGCTTTCAATTAGATGTTAACTGTAACACTGAGTGGGTCACTGTAAATGGTGGGAACTTTCTCAAGAGTGATAGCAATTCACACTACAAATGATTATACAGCTTGACTTAAAGGAACATGTGTCAAAGAAGTAATTCAAAAGGGAAAATAACTTAATTGAACACATGTTTTGTAGTTAAAACCTGAAAGCAATCCAAACCATGACTGGCGGAAGAAGAGCTAACCAGGAAATATTATGTTAATTTAGTGAAACAGCAGATCCCCATTAGGAAAAGAATAGAGAATTTCAATAAAAGACCTATATGACTAATAAGGAACTGCAAGCTAGAAAAGTGAAATTCTGAAAAATGTATATACAATGGTATTTTATTTCTACAAAAGGATGATAAGAAACCACAGTGCTTGGGCATAGTTGGTAATTAATATATGTTGTAGCTATTGATAGACGTTTCCATTAAACTTTTATTGTACATAACCATTATTATGATTACATGCATGTTTTAAAATCAAAACTGATGCTAAGAGGCATTAATTAGAGCATTAAGGAAGACATAGCAGCTAAAGAATGAGCTTTGCTTTCAGACAACCCTGGGTTCAAATCCTGCTTCCTTTATTTTGGGGCAAGTTAAATTCATTTTTGTCAGACCTCAATTTCCTCATTTTTAACTAAACACAAAGAGGATTTACAAACAAAGCAAAAAACAAATTTTGGCTCCAAGCAATCCTCTTAAGCCCAACTTAATCAAGGATGGATTCTTTTTTATTGCATATTTCCATCTGGAACATAATTACTAGCTAGAGCCTAATTTGAGAATGTTCATTATGAATAGAAGATGTTATATCTAACAACAGAATGGAATTCAGTTTATTCCTTGGATATTTGTAGGGTTAAGACTATACCCTGTGAAAGTGATAAGTAATTTCTTTCTATTTCTCTTCTCCAAGACCATGGATTTCAGTGACGTTTTATAATGGTATACTCTGGGAAAATGAAAAAGAAAAACTAAAGGATGAACTTATTGAATATTTTGTCTTCAGATTTGTTAGTGTTTACAACGTAAATTGAGCAGTTTCAATCTAGATGAGCGAAAGACTACGGAGACATCTATAGTATCACTTTAGGTCCTTTAAAAGTGAAGGATTTACTTTATGGAGCATTTATATTCCCTCTCATACCCTGACAATAGTGCTACTATGACTCTTCCCTTTGTTTTAAAGAAGATAATGTCAGGCTTCAATTTAATTTGCACCTATTTTTTTAAAGTACATTTACTTAATATTTCCCAGTCTCTGAAAAACTTTTATCGGTAAGCTCAACCTTCATGTCAATCACCTGACCTATTTGGTGATGGCTACATGAACACTTATTTGCCAACTCCTTAGAAAATTACAAATTTAACCTCTATTTCAGAAAGATCCATTGTAGACCTCAACCTGGATTTCTTTGCCAGGTCCCTTTTTTTTTTTTTTTTTAAAGATTTTATTTATTTACTTGACAGAGAAATCACAAGTAGGCAGAGAGACAGGCAGAGAGAGAGGCGGGGAAGCAGGCTCCCCGTCAAGCAAAGAGCCCAATGCAGGGCTCAATCCCAAGACCCTGAGATCACCACCCGAGCCAAAGGCAGAGGCTTAACCTACTGAGCCACCCAGGTGCCCCTGCCAGGTCCCTTAAAATGGATCATAATTATGTCTTGATATATTAATCTGGGAAGCTATTGTATGAGGGTAATTATTCTTCCCTAATGTTTTATTTTACTCAAACAGCAATGCTTCCAAAAAATGCATTGAAATTATAGCCAAGAAACAAAGATTTGGTGAAAATTAAATGAAGTTTGTGTTTCAGATGCTAATGAGGTTAAGAAAACAAGTATTTTCATTATTATTATTAACTTTATAAAAATCAGGAATGCAGAAAACTTCTTTATCCAAAGGCATTTCTGAAAGTGAAATGATCTGAAAAACTGACAGCTAGCCTCTTATTTGATCCAGTGAACTATAAGAAATACAGTTACTTGAGCAAATAGCTGGGCATGTTATTTGTCTGCAAAATTTCCTAACGCTGTCACCCTCCATCAAGGCCATAGAGATTATGATGAAAAGCCAGCAGAGGTGGGCACCTTCTAACCCCAGGCATCCAGAATCTCGCCCACGTCTCTATGAGAACCTATATTCCTAACACAAGAGACTCTACGTAAACCCCTGATTAGCAGTAATTAGCTCAGTCTCAGCCCCAAATGAGTTTTCAGACACGGGAGAGGCAGTAGGAGGGTGATGCCCACAGCCTCACAGAGTGCCAGGTGATAGAGAAAATAAAAATAGATAATGTGTTATTATATACTATTCACTTCTATGGCTTCTACAGGTTGGGTAGCTGGCATGTTAACATAAATGTAGGTAAATTTTACTCTAAAATGTGTTATTATGTAATACCTTAGGCTTGCTAAACATGTTTCATTACTACCTACAAAGCATTCAGAGAATGGCCAGTTATCTCATACCTAGTCATTCTCTTCTAAATATTTGTGGTTACGCTGGCAAAATTTTGAAATGTGCTGTTTGCTTTTACAGGAGCATGAGAATTGACTCAGTCACCTCAGGTATGGAACGAATCCCTCTACGTTTCTTTGTGGCCTCTGGCATCCAGTAGTCACCTCTGGGTGCAGGAACAGAGTAGTTAAGAGCGAAGGAATGCGGCTAGATGTTTTGGTGCATTCCCTTTGCTCCACTCCGAGAGTCCCAAAGTGCAGGAACCCTTCTTCAAAGCTTGTCCGTGTACTCTCTCTCAAGGAGTAGGCATCACAGCACTTTTGTCTGTGAGGGCAGAGTACTGAATCCGACTCACCGGGCAGGAACCACTCCCAGACCAGCTCTGCAGGCAGAACCTCAACAACAGGGCCTTTTGTCCTTGCCGATTTGGAAGGGAAGTGGTCTACAACCAAATTTCTTGGTAAATCTAAACTCATCTAGCCCCTCTTTTCTTCTTTCTTGTGTCTTTGGCCTCTGCTTCTTTACCTATTCTCATGACTCAGGATCTTTTGACTTCTCAACAAGTTTTTGACATAGGAGTTGTCCTATAGGCAGCAGTGGACATTGTGTCCTCTTGCTTGCTGCTGACCCACCTCTCAATTACGTCTAAGTTGGGGGTTGGGGAAGGGGGCGGGCCTCAGCTCCAGTCATACGCATCAAAGAACATCATGGAAGGAACAGAGAGGCCCATTTCACTGGACTTAAATGAAAAGAAAAAAATATTTCTCCTTTAAAACCCAAGACCATGGGAAGGGAATTCTTAGTCACATTTGCGAGAGTCCAACCCAAAAAGAAGCAAACAGAGGATAGGTGTTTCTATCAGTAGGATTTTTGTCTCTAGGCCTTCCCACTGGGCTTTAGTGTCCAAAAGTACCAGGTAAACTTCACTGAGATGTGGTTTTACAGTCCAACCTACAGTACTGAACCTAAGGACAGTGTAAGGAAATGCCATCATAGTTTAGAAGAAAAATATAAAATCTCCTTTGCAGTATATAACATTTTCACCTATCAATTCCTACTCCAAATTTTATTTCCAAAAGAAATCGCAGTTAATTGTTAGAAATTCCAGAGATGTCCAACAGGCAAGCATTTTCTTCTTGCTTCCTAAAAGCAAGCCTTTTCACTTGCAGCAGCCTTATCACTAATAGTTAATTAGCATGTTAGCATGTTAGCATGTAATTAGTATAATAGCTAATAACATAAATCCCAAAGCACTAGTTGTTCAAGCCTTGGGAATTTAAAATTAATGTAGAATGCTGATTTAGTTTCATTCTATATGTGACTGATTCTTTCACCTGTCTTCTGGCACAAACTCAATTTTGTTCAAATGAACAAGAATTTGATGCCCATCTAGTATATCTGAGGTTCTATAGAGAGATTAAAAATAGGTAACAGGACATTGCCAGGCCTCAAGACATGGGCATAAATAACATAAAATGGAATCTTATGGGTGCTTTAAGAGAAGAAAGTGGAGTGCTTAGTTTTAGCTCAAGAGAGAAAATCATGAAAGATTTCTGAAGGAAAGAGACAGTCTTTGAGTTAGGAAAGGGAAATAAGAATATCCTGGATATTAGTGTGAGCAAAATCAAAGCATAGGACCATGCTGGGCATATTCCATTTAGTAATAGTGAGAGAGGCCACTGGAAAGCAAAGCAGGAGCCAGATTCTGGAAATCTTGAGCCATGCTGGGCAGTTTGGAAAGTACAGTTCAGTAGGGAAGGAGGAACCACCGGAAAACAGAACTAACAAAATTAGTGCTGTATTTTGGAATGATTACTCTTAACTGCCATCTCTAAGAGACCTGGAGGAGGCTACAGATAGGAAGTCATTAGAATCGTCCAGGGTGAAAGGTGCCAAAGTCTTAAACCGGGTGTAAAGGAGTCGGACGGCAACAAGGACTTGAATATGTAGTTAGCAAAATTTGTTGACTGACTACCTGTGGGGACAAAAACAAACAAACAAACAACAACAACAAAGCAAAACAAACCTGAGGATGACAGTTTGGGAGACAACATAAGCAGGAGGTAATGAGTCCATGATACATGCTGAGAAAGGTATTCCAGGAAATCTGGAAGGAAATGATGAAGAAACCAGCTGTTAAATACTACATCTAGAATGAAAAGTCCCAGGTTTGAGTTCTAAATGCACTTCCTCTGTTCCACGGGTGTGAGGTCTCTGGACCTCAAGCTTCTTCAGCTATCAAATATGTGTGCATATAGATGAGGAATCTATATGTGCATGTTTAGTTGTCCCAAGGCCCTCTCAGCTGCTATGATGTCATAAGCTGATACGTGTGGGGTCCTGGTGACCCCTCTTTGTAAACTCAGCAGGCAGCTTGAAATCAGGTCTGGAAATCAGGAGCTAAGCAAAGATATAGCCGACATGCAGTGAACTTCCACTCTCAGCTTGTTAAATCACAAGGGTGGTACAATATACAAATTTAGCTTGCAGTTGTCACAAAGTATTAATTATTTTCCCCATTTGTTTTCTTTCACATACTTTCTCATTCTTCCCACTTCTCTCTCTGTCTTCCCATGTTTCCTGACTTAGGCTTACATAGTTTTTCCATTTTCCCTCTGATTAGCATTTCCTTACCTGTTGCCACACTCCTCTGAATCACTTTTTTCCCCTTTCATACTTACTTACTCACATTTTACACTTCCTACCCCAAGAAAAGCAAAGATTAGTAGAATCTTACTTCCTTGTCCCTGGAATTTAGACTGAATGTAGACGAAAAATGAGTCGGTGAATCTGATTTCTATTCCAAGCAGTTCCCGTAGCAACTAAACAAAACAAAACAAAATGGTACCATTAACCTATTCAGGTTCACCATCACCCAACTCCTTTACACCCATGCCTGGGGACCATGGTCTCTTATTCATGTCTCAAATCTCTCAGCAGTTTGACACTTTTCTCCTTTCTGAGTAAGGCTTTGTCAAGGGGCATTGCACACATTCTCTTTTTATGACAAGGCTACAAGGCATAGTCCAGGCTGACACTGTCTCTCTGGATCTGGGTCCATCTCTCCCTTTTCTTGACTTTTAATTTCTTACCTATCTAGGTGTTACTCACCTTAGCTCTGCTGATCTCTTTGCGGGAAGCCCAAATTTAGGTTTACCTATGGTCCAATGGTATTTTCCCAAGATGGTAGGCAAATAGACAAAAGATAGAGAGCTGAGAAAGACCACAGAAGAAAATTGCTTATGAAATCTGGGGCATGTCCTCTCCACCCAAACCCATGTTTCTTTTCCACTTTTCTCTGAACTATTGCAAATCAAATTCCTTGAAATCCTAAGCAGCCAGGTTCAGTCTCTTTATGAAACACGGTCTAAATAGAGAAAGGGTGGGAGGACCCAAAAAGGGAAGCTGTTTGTGAAATTTAACAATGGGCTCCATTGGAAAGAATAAAGACATTTTTTTAATTTAAGACCAAATTAAGTTGTCTCTCCTTCTGTGCTTTTTTTCTCTCCTGCTTCTGGCTTTTTCCTTTCTTCCTCACTTCCCTCTCTCTTTTCCACTTTCCCCACTATTTTTCATTTGCCCTCTGGCTCCCTCCTCTTATGTCAATCTACTTCCCTCAATCTCATGCCTCATCTGTGTCCCCTTTTCTCAGGGGAATGGATGTGAGGAAAGGAAAGTAAAACAGGAAAAGAAAAGGCCAATGGAAAAAAACATGTAAGACAACCAAAAGGTAATTTTTCTTTTTTACAATTATAAATCACTGTAGCTATAAAGGTCAGCTATGACGCTTGCACAAAAAGTTGTCAACAAATTGAATCTTTGAGCAGGGAATCTTATTACTTCTATTGTAGTAACAATAGAGGTGGAATGGGATGTTGAGGGTCTCCTGTGGTTTCTGCCCTAGAATCTTTCAAGGATCAAAATGTAATGTCAGCACAGGGGTTAGAGCCACCCAGGCACTCCAGAAATAGCTGTTAAAAACAAAAATTTTAAGAAATTAAGGAGTTTCCTTTAACATCACTTCAACATCTAGATTTCAAAAATGAGATCTTATCTGTTCAGAGGATCTTTATTGTTAGAATAAGAAGAGAAGCTATATTAAAGATGCAATTTTACTTATTTCAATCACTTATTTTACTCATATGTAGTTTTTAGTGTTTTATACTTACCAGTAATAACTTTTAAAATATTTTGTATTTTAGACCTTTGGATTGAACTGACTTTTCCTTTTTTTTTTTTTTGTTAGATAAATACAAACTATTAAACTAAAAAACAAGCATGGCTCAAGAAATAACAACCAACACAAGAGAAAAAAAAAAGCAGTGTCTTCCATGTGGCAGAAATAAAGGCTACTACTGATCAGTCACTGAGCATTTAAGTTCATGCCAATCTAACTTCTTAAATCTTGGCTATTATAATTGTGGGTATCAATTTTAAAGGAAGGTAGAGAAATAGAACTATTAAGGTTTTCAATTCATAAACTCAATTTTTATCTGCAGGGCTTCTTTTCTTTGGGGTTGTTGGATAAATCTGTTACTCTCTTTGGTTTCCCTTTTCTCACTTGGACCTTTACCCAACACCTTGTTGTTTCTAACATTAAGCACTGTAAGGTTCTTGAAGGTGGGGACTGTGTTCATTCTTTGTGTTTTAAGTGTTGAGCACCTGACCTGAGAGATAGTATTTGCTGAATCAGTGAATGCCATTTCCAAACAGGATTTTAACAACTTCTACTCCTTTTTTTTTTTAAGATTTTATTTATTTATTTATTTATTTATTTATTTATTTATTTATTTGATAGAGAGAGAGAGCACAAGTAGGCAGAGAGGCAGGCAGAGGGAGAGGGGGAAGCAGGCTCCCCGCTGAGCAGAGAGCCCCATGCAAGGCTTGATCCAAGGACGCTGAGATCATTACCTGAGCTGAAGGCAGAGGCTTAACCCACTGAGCCACCCAGGCGCCCCACTTCTACTCCTTTAAATATAGAAGAAGAACTATACATGGTCCCCATCCAAAGAATAATTTGGATTTTTAAAAGCCACCACTTATTCCTTTTCAAAAAGCTGCCAGTCATTCTACCATGTGCTTTGTGTGCCTTCTCAAGCTTCGCAACAATCTGAAGGGTGTTATTACTTTCCTGTTTTACAGACAGATGATGAAAGTGGAGTTACAGAGGTTAAGTTACTTGTTCAAAATAATGCAGCTAGGGAAAAAAGATATATATAGATATCTATCTCAAATTTCACACTAATAGTAAATAGTACTGGTATTTCTACTGTGACCTGAGTCACAGCAAGGAATACATCTCAGCTCCATCTTCTCCTTCCCGTCCCACAGACAAACCTCTAGAAATATATGGTCCAATATGGTAGCAACTGGGTATATGTCACCACTGAGCACTAGAAACATGGCTGGTTCAACTGAGAAACTGAATTTTAAATCTCTTTTAATTTTAATTAATTCAAATTTAACTTTAAAAATTGAAGCAGTGTCGAATATTTTTTGCATTAAACATCAGCGTGTTGTTTTGGTAAGGCTACATTTTTTTTTCACTTCAACTGTTGAAAATTTAGCATCTGAATTGAGATATACTTTTAGTATAAAATATATAGCAGATATTGCAGAGTTCGTATAAAAAATAGCAAAATAACTCAATAATTATATGGATAATGTGTTTAAATTATAATTTGGATGTATCAGATTAAAATTTGTAAATTAATTTCATCTGTTTCCTTGTACTTTCTTAGCTAGCTGTGAAATAATATCTCACAAAATTACTTATGTGACTCACATCGTATTTCTGTTGGACAGGAAAATCCTCTACCCGTTCCCTTTGGCCCACATTCCCAGGGAACTCCTCCTCCTCCTTTCTTTGCTCCAAAGATGAAAAGGATTTTTTCCCCATTTCCACAATCAAGAGTGAAATAGTTTTCCACACAACCTTTATGGGATCACCATTAGGGCCATTTTTAAGTTATGGGTATATATAAACCAAGAGTTTCTAATTTGGAGATGGCTGTCTCATAATAGAAAATGTCTCCTTGAGAGAGATTATCTGGAACAAATTGATTCTGTGGTGAAGAAAATCACAACTAAGACTATTATTACCTAGTAACGGAGTCCGTCAAGAAGCAGTGCCAGTCCACACCAAGTGTAGATGACTATGTGAAACAATTAGATCTCTCATACATCATGGTCCCTAAACAATCACTTTGGAAAACAGGAAGTTTCTTATAAAGTTAAGACATCATATCATACAACCAAACAATTCTACTCTAGATATTTACTCAGGAAAAACTAAAACATGTTCATAAGACATACATTCAAAACAAGACTTGTACACAAATGTCCATAGTTTTGTTCATAATAGCCCCACATCTGGAAACACCCTGAATGCTCACCAACAGGTCAATGTTTCAACAAGCCGTGGTATATCCATACAGTCCACATGTAGTATATTCCTACTACCTAATAACAACAAAAAACAAATAGTGCAACAACAACACGAATGACTTTTAGAAACATCCTACTGAGGGAAATAAGTCAGATATAAAAAGAAAACATGAGGGCACCTCGCTGGCTCAGTCAGCAGAGCATGTGATGCTTGATCTCCAGGCCGTGAGTTCAAGCCCCACAGTGGGTGTAAATACATCCTATGTGATTTCATTTAAGCGAATCACTTTCCTTGTACCACTTTGCAATTAATTCCCTTCAGCCCACCTTCACCCCATACAACCACTGCTCTGATTTGTCTTTATAAATTGGTTTCACCTTCTTAAACAGGTCCTCTGACCCTCTCATTTTATTTTGGTTTCACCTTCTAAAGGTGAGGACTTTCCCATGAGAAAAATTTTGTAAGTCCCAGATATCCATTTCTACTGAGGCTTTGCAAATTCCTAGTTAGAACTACTTCCTTCATCTGATCTGTAATTTCCACTGGAAACTGTTCCTGACTGACTTCCCTGATGCTGTCTCATGGCAGGGGTATGTATGCTTTGAACCAACACATCCATTAAAGGGTCACACATATAATAGTAATCTGTTAGATGTTAGAATTAAGATATGGTGGAAGTTCAGGAATAAAATGTAAGTGCAACTGATTTTGACTTTTGAAGGAGCTTTCTGCTTTATAATTTTCAGCTGTATTAATTAAATGAGGGATTATTACAGTGGCTGGAATGAACCATGAAGCATAGGAGGCACTGGTAATGAGCAAGTAGTTTTCTTTTCCCTTTTCTCTTTGCATTTGCCATGCTCCCTTCTTCCTTCCCCACCCAGACCACCACTTAGGAACAAAAATAGTCCTATTTAGACAGAAGTTATTCCTAAGATAGGCTAGTCACAGGCCAAACATTTGACAAAGCTGAAGTTTTTTCTTTGACTTTTTTGTCATCCCTATTCCACTTACTTATGTCTGTTTCTTTCCTTAAGTCATTCATTCAACAAATATTTGTCAAGTACCATCTATATGTCAGATACTGTTTTAGATTCTTGGAAATTGTAAAAATAAGTAGTGATGCATAAAATAAGCAAAGTCCTCGCCCTCATGGAGTTTACATTCTACTTTGGGGAGATAGATAATAAATATATAATATGTCAGATGGTGAATAATTATAATGAAAAATAAAGTTGGGGAAAGAGGGTAAGGAGTGCTGGGAGGTAGGGCATGAGAGATAATGGAGCTCACTGATAATATTTGAAATGAGACCTAAAGAAAGTGAGAGAGAGTAGGAATGTGGAGATTGGATATTTCAGGGACAAGAAATACTGAATGCAGAGGTTTCGAGGCAGAAGCTGTGGGAATATGTAAAGAGCAGCAAAATCATCAATGTGGCTGGTCTGAAATGAGAAAGGAAAAGAGCAGAAAGGTGAGGTCAGGGAGATCATGTCAGATTATACACTATTGAGCACAACAGTGATTTGATTTCACTTTTAGTTTAGCAGAATCGCTCTGGCTATAGTATTAAGAGAAAATTTATGGGTGGGAAAGAGCCTATTGCGGTAATCCAGA